TTTTTTTTTTTTTTTAATTTCATTTTGATTTTTCTTTTCGGGGCCGTGGGCGGCCGGTCAAGCCAGCCAGCCAGCCATTGACACGCGCCTCTGCAGAGGGTGGCTTTTTATTGAATTCAGTTACTCGGTCCCGTGTCGTGACGGATTTTTGACTCGAGAATTACGAATCGTGCGCTCCGTACTCCGTACTCGGTGCTCTGTAGGTCGAATCCACTGCCTGTCCGGACTCCAGGCGCACCGCACCGGTCGACGTGCATGCTCGTCGTCATGTTTCTTTGGCCTCGCGCATGGGGCGGCTTGCGCTTGGTCCCGTGCCGCCTCCTCCTCGAGCAGGTGCCATCTGATGGTCGTCACACGCTCTCCTGAACGTGCCGCAAGCTCCAGTGTCAAATCGTTACCATGCCATCGTTGCAACGGCCACCGGCGCCCAGCTGCTCACTGCTCACTGCTCACTGGGCACTGGGCACTGGGCACTGGGCACGACGGGGCTTCGCATCGATTTCAATAGTCTGGCTCGAATGGAAATAAAACAAAAAAAGGGAAGCCCATGTCTACGTACTATACTAGTAGTACGTACTTGCCTCCCCGCCCCTGCCTCCTCTCCCCTGCCCCCTGCCCCCTGGTGCGAACTCTCCCCACCACAGCCGGTTGCGAAAAGCGCCAGACTTGCGTACCCCGCCTTCTGTTATGCACTTTATCATACTTCAAGTCGACCCCTCGTCTAGTCGGTCAATACGCGTCGCCAAATAATACGTGTACATACAACACACGTACTCAAGTAGGAAGCCCATGCATGGGTTAGCTAAAAAGATTTGGGGAGACCCTTCGATATTTGTCCCTCCGACGTGCCTGCCTACAGTTCAACTCTCTCGCCGCCAGCAAGTCAGTGCACCACCAACGCGAATATCTTCAGCGATGAGGGCTGAACCAGCCGGGACGGAAAGGAAGCAAAAAAGCCACAAAAGATACAAAGAGGGCATGCACCCCAGTGCCAGTGATGCCGGGGGCAAACTCAAAGAATAAAACAACCCGTGACGACCAACCGTGCCGACACCCCCAGGAAGCTGGACTTTGCAGCTCGTCTCTGCAGCCACCGAACAGGCAGGCGGCCATGCATGACATGACATGCCATGCCCATGCCACGCCATGCCATGCCATGACGCCCCGGCCCGGGTGCAATACACACACACGCCGGGCCGGGTTCAGGAACCTGACGGCGGTTTTTCTGCTGGCTCTTCCCCCGCACGCGAACCCAAGCAGATGGAATCTCATGCGCCTGTCGGCTGGTGGTGTGCCCAAACGGGCGGCGTCCCACCGTCGTCCCGGGTATCAAAGTCGAAGTCAAGGTATACACTGCAGAGTGTATTCAGGTCAAAGGCGGCAGAGCGTCGACGCCAGACTATCCTTTTTTTTCTTCTATTTTTGTTCTCCCTCTTCGACATTGACATTGACATGGTGCCGCGACCCCAGCCTTTGCCAAATGCATCTTTTTTTTTTTGGCCCAACCAACCAGCCGAGGGCGGGGCTCGCTCGCATCGGGACCTCGGACTAGCGCGGCCGGGCAGGTAACGTCGTAGCCTTGGGCGACCATCATGTGAAGTAGTTACGAGTCTACTGCATTGGGCACTAGAAGAGAAAGGGGGGAAAATACTAACCGTCCTAGATTGCGTTTCGCCGCGCTAGACTGCTACTAAAAGAACCTAAAAAAAGGAACCTAAAAAAAAAGAAAAGGAAAAGGAAAAGAAGGAAAGAAGGAAAGAGAGAGAGAGATAGAGAGAGGGAGAGAGAGAGAGAGCGCTAGGTGAAATACCAATGATCCGTTTCAATCGTGCTTCGAGTACACCGTTTGTCTGGCCGGCGGCAGTCTGCACTTGCAGCCTGGGCTGCTTTGGACTGAACCCAACACCCGAAGGCGTCTCGAGGCTCGCGCTGCTCTGCATCTCGCTCGGCGGGCGAGGGCTCGATGCCCTCCGTCCGTGGTCCGTAGCGCCTGAGCCCCCTGAAGCGTCGTCACCGCAGCGGCCGCGATGCTACTCTGTCCCCTCGGGGGCTCCATTTCCAGCGAGTCTGCTAGCACTTGGACACCGTCCAGGGGGAGGGAAAGGGCACCTGGCCCGGCGACACGGCCAAGTGCCTCCACGGAATCAGTCGAACAGCTGGCACGCTCTCGAGGCTCCCTGCCGCCGCCCATACTCACTGCCATCGGCACCCGATCTGGGGCTCAGCCCAGGTCAGTTCTGGCGGCTGCCGCTCTCCAAACTCCCTCCACCGACCTGGCGCCCCTTGTACCCGTCCGTCCGGCATCTTGCTCCCACCCACTTACGGAGTACTTGCTCGAGTACTTACTTACTTAAGCAAGTAAGCACTTAGGTACATGCTCCGTCCCGCGCACCTCATTCGCCCAACCCGTCCCAGCTCCCCAGACAGACGACCCGGGGGTCCATCCATCAGCGTGTTCAGAGCGTGTCCCCTCCCTCCCTCCTCCCCGGCCAACCAATCCATCCATTCAGCATCGGCCCACGTTTCGCGCCCTCGCCCACCCGGACGACCACCACCCCCCCAACGAACCTGATCATCATCCAGCCAGCCAGCGTGCTCAGGTAAGCCGCAGCCTCTATCCCACCCGGACCCCGCCGTCGAAGCCTGGGGCGGGCGTGCGTGTGTACGTGGTGCCCAGCGTCCCCAGTCCCGGCGTTTGGAAGCCGCTGGAATCGACCACCACCGCGCTCGGCCGACCACCGACGGCAACAACGTTGGCGGCGCCCGCGCGGCGTCCAGGTAGCAGTCCATTTATATTAGTGAATTCCACGGGCGCAAGACTCAAGAGTACCCCATTGGAGGGCGCAAAAAAAAAAAAAAAAAAAGCACAGCCTTCCGAGCATCAGAAAGCACAATTGGACTCCGCAACTACCACGTACTGGAGCCCATTACAATGTGATGATTAATGTGCAGTTGCAGCCCGACGCAGGATCCTTGGCCACTACGTACGTACTCCCTCGAGTCCTCGCCCCGTGGGTGCAGCGCAGTGCTGCGTGCTGGGCAGATGTCCTAACCGGAGTCGTCGCAGTCGTCGCTGAGACAGACGCCCGCCAGCCCGCCCGCCCGCTCGCCCGCTCGAGCTCATGTCCACTCCTCAATTGGCAGGCGGTCCATGGACGCACTGCCAAGTACAGGCACAGTTGAGCACTAACTGGTCCCGTAACAAGGCGTACAGAACCCCCCGTGCCCGTGCTGTTAGCCCTGCGCTTCACCACGCACCAGCCTCGACTGCCAAAGTCAACTCAACGACAAACGGCCGCCCCTCCGCTCCGTTGGCTCCATTTGCGATCCCGATAATCGCAAGAGCTGGGGCGCCGGCCAATCCGCCCCAACGCCTGCACTGGCGCACTTGCACACACCCCCTCCCCTCCTCTGCTGCCTCACACACACACAAGACACACGCACACACGGCGCCCCCACGGCTTGTCTGTGAGCCTGTCCCAAAATATTATTTCTCGCCCGCTCTGCATTTTGTGAAGCCTAGCTGACACTCTCCAACGTCCGGCAAATTTCAGACATTCCCACCCTCGTCCGCACACACTGCATATCCGACAACGCTGCATCAACGAGACTGAACATCGTGCGGCATTACCCATCTCCGTGACGGTCCAGCGTCTGTCGTCTCGCTTCTCCGAGCTACCCAAGTCGTTGGCAATGGCCTCCTCAAAAGTATGACCAATCGATTTGGGCATGCCTTGCACGCTTGAAACCCGCTCTCGCGAGACCTCAGTCTGTACTGACCATCGTATTTCGTCAAATGTTCAGGAAATGCAGTCCGCCTCCAGGCCATTGACGCTTCAGCGTCCGTCCGTGTCGAGCCCCTCGGCCACCGCGATACCCGGCCGCTCCCATGCTCGAAACAACTCGCACTCCCTCCTCTCCTCTTCCCTCAACGCGAACCACCGCGTGACCCGACGCAAGTCCGTTACGAACCCGGGCCCCAACGTAGCGGCCCTCACGGCCGCCGTTGCCAACAGCGACCAAATTGCTGCTATCCCCATCCTCAACGGCGGACGACGAAACACAATCTCCAAAGCGGCCCTCACCAAGACATCCCTCGCCGGCAGCCTCCCCTCCCCCCCGGCTAGCCTGCCAACTAATAAGGCCATTCCCGACATCAAACAGGATGTGCACGACAGCGCCATCGACGACGGCAATGACGCTTCAGCCGACGACGAAGATAACAAGTCCGAGAAGGCCCGCATTCGGCGGGCCAGCGACGGCTCACCACTCGTGAAGGAGCCCAAGAAAACCAATCGTGTCGAGGTTCGCTGTGACAAGTGCGGCAAGAGTTACAAGCACAGTAGTTGCTTGACCAAGCATTTGTAAGTGACCGCATGTTAATCCTCCTCCGTGGTTCCTGCGCGGTTGGAACCTCCAGACGTCGAAACCAGACCATGGACTTTATGCTGACTCTATTTCGCTAGGTGGGAGCACACACCCGAGTGGTCCTTGACGTCGAAGCTACTCATTTCAAAGCACCAGCAAGTGCAGCTTCTGGAAGCCGCTTCTGTACTTGTCGCTATGAACGACAAGGAGAGCACGGCTACACCGCCCGATTCAAACAAGGACTCTGCCAGCGAGCCTGATTCTTCATCGCCTGCTGCCTCGGGCTACTCAGATCACGTCGAACGACAAAGCTCGGCCGATACAACCCCGCCGCCAATGTTGGAAGAAACTGGCCTGAGTGGGTTGTCATACCGCGACGGCAGTGGTGCTGGATTTGCCCGAAGCTACCAGTCTGCCGTCTCCGGCAGCATTCCTCGGGGCTCAGGTTTCGGACATTTCCGACAGCCCAGCCACGAGCGCCGTCCACCGTCTTCTGGTGCCAACCGGACCGGCGAGGATGACCGTGACTTGGCTGCTGCCGTTGAGCTGCTCAGCTGCAGTTTCAACAGCAACAATGGATCCCACAGCACCGTCACTGTACCCTTGGATGCACCTCCTGTACCACCAGTTCCCGCCCACTACCTTGGCCAGGCTGCTTCGTTTTCGAGTGCGGGATTCATCAACAGTTTCCCCCAACGTCAGCCAGAGAGCTTTACCCGAGGCGAGATGAGACGTGGGGTTGAGGATGTCAAGATGGAGGACAGTGATGACGACTTCGACATGCCTTCTCGAGCTCGGAGTGACGAAGATGACGACGGCGTTTTCGGTCGCATGGAGGAGTAAGTTGCAATGAAGCACCATGTTGTTGTTCTTTGGATACAGTAATATTTTTGGTTCTGCACGAGCCTCCGGGTTCCATGGCTGCGGAGTTGGGTTTTTGGGTTGGTAGGAAAGGGCTGGCGTGGTGTCTCATATGTATCATGATATATACTCGAACCTGTATGAGGTGGTTCAGCTCCGCCGCCAATCCTCAGCACCGAAGAGTGGAAGCCTTTTCTGCAGACGGTCATTTTGGGCCGTCGCCTATTCGCAGACGAGATTGCATCTCCACGAGGTTAAAGTGAGGATTCGGAACAGGCGTCGAGCGTACACCCGAATAAATACCAAATGAAGCGAAATTTTTATGTAGGATCCCGTTACCTTGGAAACATGCCGTGTACCTTGAGCGGGAACACACGTGTATTTGCCGAGTTGTCGAGGCAGAACGAGAAGGAGCAATTGGGGAATTCTGGCAAGTTGGTCGTCAAAGCTTTAAGCAGTCGTCTTTGCAAAACACGGGATGTTTCCAACAGACCCGTCACAATTGATACAGCCCGTACATGAAGAATGGACGGATTTAACTTGGCACAATTAATAGAAATTGACAAAATAATCCAAGTTTATTCATCATGGAGGGTTGGAAAGCTCTTCTCAGGCCGTCGTTTGACGAACCACAGAAGGCCAAAAATCAGAAAACAAGACTTCCAGTCAAGGCGAGTGAGCGAGCGTTCAGGAGAGAAAAAATTGACCGGTCCAAGTCCCCTCGACTGTTGCTGGTGGAGACGGTTGGACCAGTAAACTGCCAGGGGCACTCGCTCCTACCGTCGGAGCCCCGGCTCTTGACTCTTGAGACGTTGTCCTAGCGACATGTTTGATGTCACCGTCCCCACTGATGGGTGCTTCGACCAGCTTTGCTTCCCGCCTCCCTCCCCGCGCGCGCGAAGACTGCAAACAGTGAACACAGACGTCTGGCGCATGGTCGCGGCTCGCACGCAGCATTTCGCACGGTACTTTGATGGGCTGATTTGCTCGAATCCCTTGTCGACCTTGACGCTCTGTTGTTGTTTGCTTTTATTTCTTTTTTTCTTCAGGCCCCTTCGTCTCCGTACACGCACGCGCGTTCTTCCAGGCGCGTCTGTCGAGTGCGGACATTGCCAGCCCTCGCCGACTAGTAATCCGAAGTATACTCTGAAACCATGGCGCCGACCAGACGAAGCGCAAAGTCGGACGCGACTCCGACTGGCAGGGCGGAAGATAGACCTGCGGGAGCCAAGGGCGCTGTGATTACGGCGGCGGAGGAGGTCGCGGCGGAGGCCGTCGAGTCCGGGAACGGCAGGCTTCCTTGCGCCGTGCAGTTCCCCTTGACGGTCGCGTTGAGGTTTGCTCTGTCGACACTCGGTCGCATCGTCATCTCGCAGGTGTCAAGTGGGGAGCTGGAGTCGTTGACCCGGAGCCAGGATACGTGGGGAGAGGTGGCACTTGTGACGGGATGGAACATGTGAGTTGGCCTCGTCGTTGGTGAAGACGCGTCCCCGTATGCCATGTTGACGCTCTGTGCCAGTTTCGAGCTGGCGCTGGGGTGGTTTGGCAAGCTGGATAGCCTCGAAGCGGGCGCCGCGACTATCCTGGCTCACGGGCCGGCCGTACGTGTAAACCGTCATCTTGGCCGTGCTTTGAAGGCAGACACGCTGATCACCTGGCGCTAGTTCTACCTGCTCGCGGCGTTCTACAACCTCGCTCCTGCGACCGCCATCTCTGGGCTAGCCGTTGACGTGATTTCCGTCGCGCTGCCTTTCTACCTGGTCCGCCCTCTTTCTTCGGCCTATGAGTCGACCGCCAAGACGAACCGCGACGGTCTAGATGTGCCCATGCGGCTGCTGACCACCGTCCTCTCCACGGCCATCTACACCGTCACGCTGGTTCTCTCGCTGCGTTTCTTGATGCCTCGAATCCTCGTTGTTTACTTCAGTGGGCTTCCCAGCCTCGAGCCGGCGTACTCTGCCTCATATACGAACAGCCTCCCTGTTACGGTTTTGTTCGGACTCGCTGCCAGCGCCTTCATCTTTGCGCCGTTCGCCAACACTGGCAAAGCCAAGGAAGATTCCAGGATTGAGCAGTTTGATCCTGTGAGCGCATCCCTGGCCCAGACTGTTTGGTGGAACTTTTGGGGATACACAGCCAAGACCAAAGTCTTGATTCGACGAACGGCTTTTGCTGTGCTTTTATCAGGTGTCGGCACTTATCTTGCCTGCACCAGGGCCATGTATGGTATCGAATCGACTGGTGCCACTGCGTATGCTGGTCTCTGGGCTGCAGCTGCGTTGTTTGTCGGCGTTGGTCTGGGTCTTGTAGGCGGCGACTAAGTCGCTCCCTACGGCACCAACCAGCTTGGCTCTGTAGGGTATCGTGGTGGATGGTGATTAATCGAGGTTAGCAGACTGGTAAAGGGAGGGAAAGGGGGGCTTGGGCAAATCCAGTCTCCGGACAAAGGCGGATGGATAGTTCTTTTATTGAGATACCACGGTGGGATTTTGGAACCGCGTTTGGGTTCGCGGCGTGCTGTTACGCTGGTTCAAAGTTGACGCTAGGGAGAATGTACCAACCCGGATGCTGTGTATCTATCTATCTTGGCTTAGGATGCAAAGTCTGATTGACATATTCTTTGCGTGTTCTCCAATCCAATGTAACACAGTGCAACGAACCTGAGAAAGAGTCCTGTAAAGTAGTCTTGGTTCTTGTAGGTACGGGGAAACCAGGCACATGCACGATCGGCTGACGTGCAGATTCTCAGTTTGCCTGACAACGAAACAAAGACACAACCTCGTTGGCTAGAGCCGAGAAAGAAGACACGAATTCGGCATTTCCTGCCAGCTGCGCTGTCATTAGTGCAGGATCATGGTTGGTAAGATATGTGCCAGTATGGGCAGATAGCCGGCCCAAGTAGGCCGGTGTTTGATGACGGCTTTTGCAGATTGGGATTTGGGCTGGAGCTGGCGCGGTATAGGAAGTCATACAGGCGGGCGCAGGGCTGGCATGTCGGACGATTAACTATTCGTTGACGTTGCAGCTGGTTGGATTGTTCACATGCCTGGCGATGCAAGGTTGGCGGTGCCAGCTTACCATTCATTATCGATGGCCTGGCAGCTGCCAGGGAAGGTTGCAGCCTGCCAGACCGGGAAAGGCAGGGAAAGGCAGGCATGTCCCTTGCCTTTCAAGCTGCAGCTCCTTCCTTGCAGCCGACCAGGCAGTCGACTTCAGATTCCATACGGACTACTCTGTACTCGGTAACTCGTATGAAGAAATTGGTCAACTTGATTGCAATCAATCGAGTGTGCACGAACACCGCAACTTCACCTTCCGTCTTTGCGATTGCGGCAAGCCAAGAGTTCTCTGGCTCGAGTCTCTCGGCACTCGACTTTTGGCGACGTAGGATGACGAGAAGAACGGGATGACGGGATGTGGGACGCGGGACGTGAGACCACGGACTGCTGGCCTGGCACCACATGGCCGACTCGCGAGTCGCGATGACGAGCTTCCCACGTCCGATAGTTGGCAAGGTGGCTGACTATCATCCAACGGCAGCTTCTCCTCTATTCCTGCTGCTTCGCTGGTCGTTCCCTTTTCTCCAAGGGCGCCGCTGCTTCCTGACCGGGGCTGAAAACCTGCTGAAAATAATAGCTCAGGCGTCCCTGTTCCCGACCAAGTTGAGGCTGCCCACTCATCCTGGCATACGGCATATTGCCCACCGCCGGACCATCGCAGCTGCAGATCTTATCGCAAGCTGTCAGAACTAGAGTCCGTTCTCCACCACCGCACCTTCACCATCTCCGTCTGCCCGGTGTGTCTGACGGTTTGCATGTTTGGGCAAGCCCTGAGGTGCCCGTCGTCTGTCTAGCTGGGCCCTTCTCATGCGGTCATTTGCTTTCAGGGAAAACGAAACGGACGTCAAGCCGCGATCCCTCCAAGTCTATGATCAGCTTCGGCTGACAGCCGAAACTGTCAGCTGGGTCGTGACTATTTTCAGCCCCGTTGGCGAAAACAAAAGCGGCTGTATCCGAAGGGGCCTTGCGCCTTGTGCCGGACAGTGGTGCAATAAGGCATGATAACTCATCTGGGAGGAAGTTGTCACTGTCTAGGCTCTCCGTCTCTTGACGTCAACTTGCCCATGTGCTTCGGGCTGACTTGCAGTCCTATTCGCCCAAACATACCACGGCGACTCCGTCCTGTGATCAAATATCATCGCTATTTTCAGGAAAATAGTTCCAACAAGCGCTACGCAATTCCAAGGGCATCGAGGTATAACTTGATCTGGCCTTGCCTCTGGTTTCGGGAGGGGGAGGCTCAACGCCGCTGAGTTGAGGAAAGATTATCCGCAGTCACTACACAACGCAGGTGGGACGCCTCCTCCGCCTCTCTCTTCAGAAAGAATTGGGACAGCCCCTATCCGCAGTCAATACAAGCCCGAGTGATAATGTCGGAGCATCATACGGCCAGCCCTTCTCTAGGATATACACACTTCAACCAATCACCAGGTATCAGCAGTGACGAAGCTTTGGATCTCCATGGCCCTTTGAAGGTGTCCGGAAATGTCGAATCCGGACATGACATCAACCTAGAAGGAGAGATTACCATCACAGGTCGTATTGACGCCTATGGTCCTCTCACCATGAAAGGCAGTATCAATTGCGGGTACGTACACCATTGAAGGCCTGCCTCAATTGCCGGCCTTGTCGAGACAAAGTCCGGGATGTGCACTATTTGTGATGAATCAAACTGAACAGCTCGCAACAGGAACGAGATAAGAGCTTACGGAAACATCTTGGTCAACGGTGACTTGGTATCGAGGTGAGTGCCGAGCCGGACCATCATAGAACTCCCATATAACAGTCGACCACAGTGATAAGATCAAATGTTATGGCTCACTAAAGGTTTTTGGAACACTGGAGGGCCGTCACCTCGAAATCTATGGAAATCTCCTGATAAAAGGATATTTGTGAGGATGAGCAGTCTCTTTGACAGATTCGATACCGGCAAGTTGCTCACTACCTCATTAGGAAATGCAAGAGCCTTGTGGTGTATGGATCATTATCGTTGATTGGTTCTACATCGACGTACACAATCGAGGAGTCGGAAGAGATCAAAGGCGCGAAAATACTAAGAGAGCAGGAACCTGATTGGGATTTCTAGTGCAGGGCTAGGACTACCTACCCTGCTTGAACGTACTTTTGGGGGTAGATTCTTTCCTGCTTGCTTTTCCTTCTTTCATTCTTTCTCTTTCTCTCTCTCCTTCTTTCTCTTTTTCTCTCTCCTTCTTTCTCTCTTTCTCTCTCTCTCGTTCTCTTTCTCTTTCTCTTTCAAAACCACTTCTTGCTTGTTGTGGCTACACACTTCGGACGACTACTTTTTGCTCCCAACTCAATCCAAGTGGTATAACTGAGCAAACAGCATTTCATCCAAGATCCAGAGGGATGGGATTCTAGGGACGGAGTGTGCAGGTAGGTGTGCAGTACTACCGGAGGCAAGCATATATGCTCTATATGTGAAGTTGAACCCGACTGGGAGTCGGTCACGGACAACCAGACGCCCAGAAACGTGGGTCAGCATCATGTAAACAAAGAATGTATGAGCCAAGCAAGATGGCCTGGTCACGGGCCAAATTAAGCGCAGGTGCACGTACATTCGAATGAGGCGAATCATGCCACCTTGCACCTTGGGACAATGAAAGATGCCGTTCAAGTCCGAGTCCATACTGGACAAGAGAAAAAGAGAAGCACGGCTCACAAGATGGAACAATGGCTTATTGATGACTAATGCGCCAAGATGGCTTGGCACTCGTGTGGGTCGACACCAGCTGCGAGGCGCGGAATCAGGCACGGGATGTCATGGTGGAGACACCCCCCCCCCCCCCCCCCCCTTCGAAACTCCCTAATCGTACCAAGTACCAAGTACCAGCTCTCTGCGGCGGATCGCGCGCATTTGCAAGCTTGCGACACGGTTCCTCAACAAAACCTGCTTCGAGAAGGGCAAATGGCCGCGCAGACCCCGGGGGCATCCATCGCCAACCCATCCCGATAAGCTCTCTCCGGTGATTGCGCTGCTTTTGACGCGCTCGTCCCTTCGAGTTGTCGTCCTCCGAGGGAGGAATCATGGCAGCCGCCGGCACAGACCAAACTGTGGCCAGGGATGTCGAAGGCGCGGCATCACCAAAGGACACAAACTCTGCAAACCGGACAGCCGCAGGCGAAGCAGGTCGATCGGGTCAAGCCATGGAGAATGCTGGCAAGGCACTCGAGCCTCGTGCTGACCCTGATGCGCAGACCACGGTTACCGACTTCCTCGACTTTACAGAGTACCTGCCATCTGACGTGATCCGATCGCTGACGCTCATCGGGAAACTCGACGAGACATACGCCGATGCATCAATCAAGGTGGACGAATTAACGACAACGTGGGGTCAGCTCCCTAGCCTCGCGGTCGAGGACCGGCCCTCACCAGTCAAGCTGCGTGCCGACATATCAGAGAAGCTCAGTCAGGCATTGAGTTCCAGGGTCTTTGCCCATGACGAGGCTGTGAGGATGTCCGAGAATGTTAATCGCCATTATAACAAAGCAAAGGTCCTTCTGGCGAAATTACAAGACATGATGGATCACTATCCGACGGAGGAGCCCAAGAGTCCCGTCGTGCCGAGGTCGCCACACGCGATTCGCGCGAAGCCCACTGGCGGCGAGGATGGCCAGAAGATCCGACGACATAGGATTCCCAAAGTCACCGTTCCGGGAGAGGTGTTTGCGCCTTACGAAATCGAATACGATACCGCCAGCGATGATAGCGACATCAGCACCGATGAGGATTCCGACATGTACGGCACAGGACGGAGGACGCCTGCCACGCCGCGAATCAAGATCATATCGAACAAGATTCACAAGCCAAACAGCCGGCTCGCTCGCCCTGTCAGTTATTCCTCAGCAGCAATGACTGCTGCCGCCGCCGCAAACGCCGCCGCCCTCCTGAACCCCCCGCCCGAGAACGCCGTGATTGGCAGTGCAGATGCCCCATGGCTGCAACTTACCAACTACGAGCTAGCGAAGCTGCGAAAACGGATGAAGAAGAACGCTACTTGGACACCTAGCGAGACAATGGTGGCAAGAGAGCTAAAGGCGCTCGGCCGTGGACCGGACGAGTACAGGGAAGCCAAGAAGAAGGCGGAGGATGAAGGCAAGGAATTCAACCCCAAGGTGCCCACACTTGTCGTGGACGACGAGTCCGGGGCCCAACATCTTCCAGCCGGTGCCATCAGCGCCGACTCGATATGGACCGAGGAAGTCCCCACGAGCAATAGAGGCATGAAGTTAAACGAGGCCAAGAAGCTCAAGAGAGAGGCCCTGGCCAAACTGGCAGCGGAGGAGGCTGAAGAGTCTGCTAGAAAGATGACACACGCAGCCAAGGTCTTCATGGGAAATGAAAAGAGCAAGTCAGAACACTCCAAGGACCCCAAGGAGCCAAAGGGAGGAAGCCAGTCCCAGGAAAAGCCCAGGACCATTTCGTCTCGACCACTTGGCAAGCGTAAAAGAGAAGGCGATTCTGGAACTGAAGCACCAGAATCTGCGGAGACAACACCGCCGAGGCCACAGCCCAAGCGAAGCAAGATGGAAACTCCTGTTCCTCCGCCCCATCATCCTGGTATGAACCAGAACAACGCGCCGCCGGCGGACTTTAGCAGCAATCAAATTCATATTAATAACACCGCCTCTAGCAATAAAAACAACAGCAATAACAACTCGTCACTCCAATCGATGACGCCGGGCACTCTCCCGCAGCCGGAAACGCCCGTTCCTATACCAGTCCCCCCACGGAGCTCTTCTCAATCTGCGATGTCCCGAACTCCCAACTCGACAAGCAGCAACAATGTCACCACGACGTCTATACCTGTAAAACCACCTGCAGAAACTCCCGTTCCCTTGCCACGCACAGACCGACGAAAGTCCATGACGCCGGTCGCGCCACCATCCCGAGAGCCTGCCAGGAGAGAGACTCGGGGAGAGGCCGCGAAGCGAACACAGCACGTCTCTCCTCCCGACGTCCCTCCGTTGCATCCTGCATCCCGCGGCCAAACTCCAGTGGCGACCCGCCCCGGGTCCCGAGGCAAAGCGGCCAGCCAAGAGCCGCCTTCTCTCGCGGCAGATAGACCCCGTCGCTCCAGCACGGCTCGAAACACCCCAATGCCGGAATTCAAACAGCCCGCGAAACGGACCAAGCGCCCCGCCCCTGGAGTTGTTAGTACCACCAACAGCGGCGGGAGCAGCGCCGTCGGCAAGCGCAAGGCGCCGCCCAAGAAGAAGGCTCGCGCGACCAAGAGGGAGAAGGGACAGGCGTTGGAGACGGAGATGGAGGAGGTGGATGAAGAGGGGAACCCAATTGACCCGGCTGAGCCGCGATACTGTATGTGCAATCGGGTCAGTTTTGGAACCATGATTGAATGCGACAATTTTGATGTAAGTCGACCGGACTGCAAGAGATCAATACCCTAGAAAAGAAGGAATACGATGCAAAAAGAAGAGACACAGACATAAAAAAGGAGAACACAGAAAGTTCAATTGGCCACGAAGCTAATGCTCTATGCACAGAATTGTAAACATGAATGGTTCCACCTCGAATGCGTCGGGCTGGAGGACATTCCCGCCCGAACGACCAAGTGGTATTGTCCGGACTGCCGCAAATTGCTGAATATAGGAGAAAAGGGCGAAGTGAGTGCGCGAGGGGTACGAAAGTGATATCATGAATCGGGGGGGGAAGGGAGACTGGCGCTTACGGCATGGAGTTTTCTGTCGCGACCGACCTGGGCGATTTTTTTTGATTGTTTTTTGCTCTTTCTTTTTGTCTTTCAAGGAACAGGATGAGACATGTTGGCGACAACTGATGTTGGTAGTTGGCAGGCCAGAGAGTGAATGGCGGTCCCGTCGTGAGTGAATCGCATGAATATGAGTGCGGTTTTGGTGACTTGGCGATGGTGATGTGATGGTGGATAAAGGTTGCAGATTTGCCCGCAGCTGCGAGACGCACATGAGCGTGTCTCCACACACTCAATCTCCAAGGTACATTCTTATTGTCGTGTGAGAACAGCGGTCAGCTGCACCGAGCCTCTCTTTCTCAGGTCTCTTGATGGCTCGCAGTGTGCAAAACTGTCAATGGCGGTTATTTTTCCCGCTTACCCCCGCCGCGATAACCTGTCCGAGCCAGAGGTCAGGATCAGGACCTTTGTCACCAGCTTCTATGGAGCGTCGAAAGGAAGTTGTGGCCGTGGGTAGGTCAATTCATTACGGATGCACAGGGCCATCCATCGGCAAGGATGGAGGGCATGCTGAGTGCTGTGTCTTGTTTTTATTTTATTTTGCTCCCCGTCGACAAATCTCGCTAGTTTCATGGATTTACAATCCGAGGACCAAGAGTATGAGCTTATGCTGTTTGGCGACGTCAAGCTACAAACCAAGGCAATCGGTTGTTCCGTGGGCTGGACCTGGTGTTTTGACCAAAGAGGCGTCGAAGTTCGCACGTTATCGGGTTTGGCTGCGACTCGCGAGAGTCGGCGGGATACTCTGAGCAGCAGTCTCACGAGCCCTATCACAAGGCGGCTGGCCCGTTGTGCGTCTCTGATGTGACCCGGAGTATCCGTCGTTCGCGGGTGTTGGGTTGCACCTACGCTCCGCATGCTTCTCGGGCAGCGGTTCATGGTTCGTGAGGTAGCTGTGCCTTGCATTTGATGCTGTGCATTGTGCATCGGACATCCCCTGTTTCTCCCGGACAAAACCTCTTCCTGTCCGGACCTCCCAAGCGCCAAGACTCGAGAGCCAAGTCTCCCTGATCATTTCGAATGACCTGGCTACGTGGATTGTGTCATGGCGTAGGAGGCAGCGCTCAGCTGACCTGGAGTCACGGCGAGCAAATCATCATGTGGTGGCGATCCTGCTGGTTGCGGGGAAGGGGGTGTGCCTCCAGAGGTGCGTTGGAAGCAAACACGAGTTGGCCAATAATGTCGGGGCTGGGCGCTCCGGATTAGGATCCGGCACGTTATCGGCGGAGGTAATGACGGCTAGGATGATTCAAGCCTCCAAGGCGGCCGTGAGCTGCGTAGCGTCACCTTGCCATGCTGAGAACAAGTCGTGGAAGGGACATGTTCACTGTTATTAGGAATATAAACTTACGCTAAATTGTTTGATTCAGGAGCCTTGCGCCTTGCGCCTTGGCCGTCGGCCTGCAGACGCTCGCCTTGCTGAGAGTGCTTTCCGACATATCCATTCCATTGTACGGAGTAGTCATCTCTTCATGCTTAGCGGACCTTCTTTGCAGCTGCAAGACCACGGGGACACAATGGACTCGGCGTGTCGCACCACAGTAGACTTCCTCGTCCCCGTTGCTCGGAACCTGCTCATCCGCCAACAGAGCCTGAGCTTACTCACGGGGTTTGGTTTTGTTCCAACATGACTTGACCCAAAGCACTGGGTGAGTCCCGCGACCGACAGCTGGCTCCACTCTTCACGCTTGTTGTCAACGCTCATGGCTCCCTCAGCTGGGCTTAGGGTCCCGGACCTGGACGCCAGAGATGGCTGGCTGTAACGCAGGCGTGCCTTGCTGCTGCCCACGTTCGTTCCCTCGTCTCGCCGCACGGCGCTGGATGGAGGCCGTTTCGTTGGTGTCTAGGTGACTCGCTCGCCGTCAGCCGGAGCTTCTCCTCTGCGCCCATCAATCTTCTCCTCCTCGTACTCACATCCAAAGCTACCATATTGACGACGACCTCGACGACGACCATCTCCGTCCTTTCATTTTCACGTGGCTCAAGGCTCTTTCTTTGAGTAACTTCTCTTTTTGTCCGTAGACGATTCCTTTCTGTCATATCAACCGACCGTGGCTGGGCCGCGACTCCCTCCATCACTGACCACAACCACCCCTCCATACCCCTCCATCGTTGCATCTGGACATCTCGACGCGACTTTTGGTCATCATCAAACTGCTATTGAAACGCGGTGCAGATTCCAATACGCTGGCTTTCTCAGGGCGCGACTCCTTGGTCATTCTTGCCGTTTGGCCTTCTCGCGGCGCGGGAGGCTGTTTCGTGTTCTGGGGCCAACACCGGCCGAATGCCAAGTAAGTCCGCCGTGGTCCTCCCATAAACCGGAGCGGCTTAGGCACGCAAAACGAAGCAGTAGCTGACCGGCATCTCGCCAAAGGCAAGAATAAGAAACATGCCAAAGAAAGTGGTGGAATATCTGCGGCGGTGACCAAGCAGGCTGCTGGCAAGCTCTCGTGGGTCGCCCCTTCCCCATCGTCGCAGGACGCTCCTTCCTCGCGACACGTCATCCGAGTTGTCTGGCTGACTATTGCATCCCGTCACCACCAACAGCAGCAATAATCGTAATTACCTAATTGAGGGTGGCGGCACCACCGCTTCCAACAAGAGTACGGCTTCCGACACTTCGACCCCCCCTGCCAATACACCGGAGATCAAGCCCTCGACTTCGCCCGATGATGGAAACCCTATCGTTGCGTCGCCGATGCTTGACGCTTTTTCTACCGTCTCAACTTCCCCGAATACTGCTCCCATCATGACAACAGAGTGGGCCAAGTCCATCATGGCTGGTTCTCCTGGCAACTTGATCAACCTTAGCAGCGAATCCCCGCCAACTCAGCCTTCTTCTTATGAAGAAGCCGCCAGGCTGCACAACGGCTGGGCTGCCGGCCAGCGTCCTCTAATGAGTCCATCTCCAGCATCGCCTTCCCCGCCAAATCATGCTCGGCGACCCCTTAGCCTTCAGTCGGACGCTCACTATCACATCGCCGGCACCCCCCCACGATCGAGTGCCGCATATCGACGAAGCTCGCTGTACTCGCAGTTGAACACTACGCAGACCGCAAGTCCGCATCCACCCCTGCCTCATCAAGCCCAGCCACATTTTTACGGCGCTCAGGACTTGGACCTGGCCGTTACTTCACAATCCAGCATGAAAGCTGGTGATGGGGGACTATTTTTCGGGTTTGATACGCTGCCGCCCGGGCCAGGAACGTCGGCTCAGACGCAAAAGGTGGTCTTGGCGGGCTATCAAGGTGGCCTGCAGGTCTATGCCGTAAACAAAAGGGGGGTTGAGTTGGTTGCGAGTTTGAAAGGGTTGCGCGGTGGAGTGCATCATGCCAAAATCCTTCCATGGACTGTCACTGGCCAAAACTCGCCCTCGTTTCCGCTTGTAGCAGTGGTTGTACACGGACCGGTACTCCCTACGCGGCTGACGGATGTGGGTGGTCAACGGGAGACTGTGTCTCGTCAGACACCGGACTACAACGCAAGCCCTCGTCCAGCAGGCCATGCTCCGTCGGAGGGTCAGTCGGCACGAGCAGCGCCAACTATTCAGTTCTACCAAACTGCGGTGGAAGTCTACTCTCTCAGTACAAACAGACTTGTTGATGTCCTTCTTCAGACACAGAGAGTACCCATCAACACAGAGGTCTCGCTATCCAGTCCTCTGTTCCAGCCTCCTTCACCCAGTGGGGCCCTCGATATCAAAGCGGATGACGGCAACATTGCCGTGTGTTCCGGTATTACAGGCGAATGTTGGATATATAGGCAATTGCTTGAGCTACAGAATGGCCACATGTTTGCCTGTGCTGGAAAGTTGTGGACCACGATTCAACAAAGCCAGCGGGCAGAAGTCGCGGAAGAGGCCGGAACAAATGGTTCCTCCTCTTCTCCCCGGCGATCCAGCCCGCAAACGCCAATTTTTGCAATGAACGGAAGGTGGATAGCCTATTGCCCGTCGACCCCTTCATCGCAGGCCTCCCTCAGAGCGCACTTACCCGTGCCTACGCTGGGTCGTGCTCCCGGAGTTTTGTCCATGGCACCGCCTCACCTCCCAGCCCTTTCCTCAGCTGTTGATCTACCCATTTCAGACGGCATGATGAACAAATTTATGCGGGAAACCACGCAGGAGCTGATTTCGGGGATGAAATGGGTCGGGCAGCAAAGCCTCCAGGCTTGGAATTCGTATTGGAGCCAGCCACCCACCTCCCAACAACAACATCAACACTCTAGATCATCTCCAGCGCAGTGGACGGGATCGCGTGCGCAACAAGCAGATCCGTCACAGTTCCCACCTACTCATGGAACGTCAACCCTAGCCACAGTAAAAGAGCCGGGGCTCGTTTCTATTGTGGATTTGGAAAAGCTCCCGTCCCATGCAGCAGTTCATCCTCTTAGCACGTTTGCGACTCCGCTCGGTTGTAGCTTTGTGTCATTCTCACCTTCGGCGTTGGCTCTTTTCACTGCCAGCACCAAAGGCGACGTCCAGACAGTCTGGGATCTCTTGCGTATTCAACATACAAACTCCTCACCGCTGCAGACAACCTTGGCGCATCACGAGACTATTGGGCCTCAAGTTCGACAAATCGCGCAGTTCTCACGGATGACGGTGGCTAGGATTGTGGAGGTCGCCTGGTCTGAGCCACACGGCGACCGGTTAGCTATGGTTACGGAGAGGGGAACAATCCATTTACTGGACATGCCGTTTAGTTCTTTCATGTGGCCACCCCCAAGACGCCGTAGAATCGCCCGGAAAGGTGGTCCCGAGGCCTCCGAGGGATCGAGCTCAGCTGTCTCGATGGCCTCGGGTGCACTTGGAGCAGCGTACCAAGCGGCAAAGCCATTTGTCTCACGCTCGCGCCGTGGAAGCAGCAACACTGTTTCGCCGTCTCCGGGAAACATGCTCAGGGATTCTGCGGCCCAGGGTGGCCGAGTGATTGCAGCTAGCATTAGCCACTCTCTGGGAAAGACGGGAACAGCCATCAACCAGCTTCGTCACACTGGAGAGAATCGAGTTTCTCTGCCACCAAGCGCCGTTCTACCGTCACCTGCCTGTGTTTCGTGGTTGAGGAATCGACGGTCCCAGTCATTGTTCTCGATTGCGGGTGGCCTGGTGCGGGTGTTTCCGTGCAGCACAAGAACATCTTCATCCGCCCCGGGAAAGAAAATATCTCGGGCAAACAAGTATAAAGACATCAGGGTCCCGCTTCTTCCAAACGACATTGTTGCACCAGTTGTTCGCCAGATGCTTGAGCTGGGAGACGCCGAGGAGTATTTGGAGCTCTCAGAAGCCGAAATGGATGCAGGGAACACAATGACGCTCAAAGCTCCCCATGTCGCGGCCGCCACTCAATATGGCATGGACGCTGCGATTCCACAAGCGGAGATAGAATCAAGCGCGCCGTATCAGCCTTTCCATACCGACCGGCGGGTCGCCCTTTGCGAATACGGGCGAAGAGATTCCGTTTCTGTTCTTTTGGCAAGTGTGAGTTTGGATGACGAGGTCAATACGAAGAAGAACAAGCAGAATTCGGACGCGACCAAGGGCCAGACGTCTGCATGGGCATTTGGACAAGACATTCCTTTTGTGAGGGTGGACTTGGGACTTGCACCGACAAGTGACGATGGTTACGTGGGACCGGATGATCACATGGCCTTGCCGCCGTCCGCAATGGAAAGAATTATGCAGTATGACGGCTCAGAGTCTATCGTGGTGACGACGAGACGGCGACGCGGTGCTCGCCAAGGCGAGGGCGACGAGGATGGGTTCTTTGAAGACGACTGCGAGGTCCTTGATTTTGCGGACCAGAGAGTCTAAGTGTTTGCGGGGTGGTGTCTGCGTTGAGACGAGAGGAGGAGGAATGCTTGGGCCGGGCACTCGGCATATTAGACGACGGAGCGAGGGGGTGCCAATGGTTGCCTCGCTCGAATTGTGGCAATCACGCATATCGTTGGATTATTTGGAGTTTTGCTTGTCTGTTCCTGCTTCTGTCTTGGCTGGACTGGTTCGAGTCGTTGCTCCATTCGCTTCGTTGCTGTTTAGCGTCCTGATGGCTCTTGCGAGCAACCCGTAAATCAAGAAAATAAAATACAGATGACCTTTGGAACTGGCTTTGATTGGCATTAATTTCTTGTACATGATTATTGCGACAATAGAGTGTTGTATTACTTTTATTTTTATTTCATTTTACCTCGTCTCACTTGTCTGATGTTGGCGGCGCAAACCAAATTATCAACGAGTCATTCATTGCCTCTCGGAACGACAAAGTCGGGGTTGTATAGGCGGAGAGAGAATGTTCCTGAGTATTTTTTCTCTCCCTCCCCCGCCGCTCAGCAGGGCACCTGTGCCGGGGGTCATGGCGATGGGCAGGCGGGCCGAGCAAGGAGTTGCACGGAATTCTCAGTTCTTCTTCTTCGCGGCGGCCTTGGCCTTTGCAGCCTTCTTCCGGTTACTTCTAATCATGACCAGGCCCAAGAAGGACCCTACGACTGCGGAGCCGAGGAGGATGAGGATGACGGGGATGCGGATCGCCCACTTGCGGTGGAGGAAGAAGTCCTGGAGAGGGTGGTCCTTGTCGACAAAGGGCTGTTTGCGGGAGAGGAGGATTAGCCGGCGTGTGCTGCGGCGGGCCGATGGAACACGGGGAACTTTTCTTCTTTTGCTCTTCTTTTCTCTTTCCTCTTTCTTGTCGGGGGAGGGGAGGGAGTGGTGTTTTCCGCGAACGCGGGAGACGAACCATGACAAGAGTCCATATTGTGTAGTAGAGGAATATGACGGACGAAGCCACGAGCATGGCGAGGCCGACGAGTTTGTCGATCTGGGCTTGTTAGCGGCGCATTGAGGGGGGCGGGTCGTGAGGCGCGACCGTGCGGGCGGGAGGTACCATTGTTGAGACGCCGGGCGAGACGACAGGACTCGGTGATGGTGAGGAGCGTGCGCGTCGTGGAGGTGGTAGATGGAGGTGGTGAGCGTTGATGGAGGACGCGATGTCGTTTGCGGGAGCTTGGACGAGATGTGGCGGGTTTGAGCTCGGGTGGGGGGGGCGCGAGTCGCGTGGGCCAATGGGAGGTGGCTTCCCGCCGACTCCCTTGCCTTGCTAATTCTTGTGGCATCTCGGCCTAGACGGTGGACGACTTGAATTTTTTATTTGATTTTTCCGCTGTATCCATCCATGGCGTGCCAGTGGCGGATGCGTGGAGGAGTCCAAGATAGATGGGCGCGGACGACGCCATCACCTCTGACACTGGGCGCAGTGCTCCCCTTTGGGTTTGAGAGCGAGCATCGAGGAAAGGGGACGACTGGAAGGGAGAAAGGGGCCCAGGGTTAATTGACGTGCCTGGCAACGAGCAACGGAGCAGACGTGGATGGTGGTCACTGATGGTGATGCTGTGGCCAGCTCGGAACCAAGGGTCCAGCTCATTGTTTCATCATTTGCTCTGGCGTGAAATTCAAAGGGAAATCGGCAATTTGAGCCGACACCCCCGGCATTGCGGCGCCGCTTGAGACTCGACAGTACAGGATGCTCCGGTATCATACATACGTGAACATGAGTCTGTGCTCCAAGCTCTCATGCAAATGACCAGCCCTTGGACACACGTAGCACTTTCCAGCCCGGATACGACTGCCTGGGGCTTCTTCTCAACCTAATCTTCCGAGAAGAAAATTCCATCCCGATACGTGGCCTTCATCCTACCCTGCTCGCACGTAGATCTGTAGCCTCCGTGGCCTTGCCTGGCCGGCTTGGCCGCCCCAGGCCCCGAGGGCGACTGGCCTGGCTTTGCGTCAGGCGGGAGAGGTCCCTCCTCCTCGGCCATGTCCTCCAGGCACCCCCGGACCATGGACGTGACGACGTCCTGTGTAGTGCCTCTGCTGGGGTCCAGCTTAGGCTGCATCTCTTTGCGGCATTGCATGGCGTATTTGTGGCAGAGATGTTTCGAGAGGCCAAGGCCGCAGCACAAGCCAGCTTCTGTTGCTGGGTCCCTGTTCCGAAAGCATTTTTCGAATTCTACTTTAAAGTACTCAAGTTGGAACTTGTCGAATCCCCCCTGCCGAAGTCGGGACACGGCTTCCACGTGTAGTTCCTTGCATCCATCCTTGGCCCGGGCCTGGCAGTAGAACCATGGTATGCCCACGTCCAAGCAGGCGTTGTCAAAGGAGGCATCGATACGTCCCTCATAATCCTCTGCACTGTTGCCACCATCAGCGCGCCTCTCTTGCTGAGAAAGGGAAAGGGCCGGGCCGGCGGAGGCCAGTCCCGTGAAGGCGGCGGCGGCGGCGGCGGCGACAAGTGCGAGACCCTTCATGATGACGATTGAATATTGAAAGGGTGATGAAAAGAACCCAAGGCGGACTCGGTCGGCTTGGACGATAAATGTGTCAAGGAGGTAGGATTCTCGCTTGCAGTGATGGACAGACCAAAGGAGGATGAGAAGACTCTGGCCGAGGGGCCTCAAGATGAGGGAATCGCAGCAGCTTTTTATCTTCAGAGCCTGCCTGGCCCGGCGGCCGGTCAAGGTCTCCCCGGATGTTGCCGTTGCTCCAGCATTCAAAACTCTAAACCAGTGTCGTGTCGTGTCCAAGGCCCTGCTCGCCTCGGCATCCTGGTTGTTGTGACCAAGGCTGTGTGCAAGTCTGACCAGGGCTCGGGAATGGTCGTGGCCAAGTCATTCTCATCATCGGCCCTGGGCCATTTCGACGAGGTCCTTGGTTTGCTCTGGGGAGCCTGGGCCAAAAGGCCTGGATGTATAACGTACAACATGCAGGAGCCACATGGTACCCTGGTATCCTGGCGTCTATTCATGCAAGGGGCTTCACGAGAACAACTTGATTTGCCGTGTGACAAAAGATGTAAAGGGCAGGCAAGGCAGGCTATTGAGCTCAGCTTGTTGGAAAAGGCGAGTAGTCACGTGTGGACAGGGATTGTGGACAACTAACTTATACAATGGCTGGAAGCGTGTTCATACTGAGAGCATCCCCCGGCCTGAGTGTTGGGGGTTGAGCAATCGACAACTATTGAAGATGTAGATACACCTTGCACTATTCTGGCACAGCTACCCCGAGGTACACCAAGTGACGACGGGTCACCGCACACTCGTAGCGTTTTTCAGTCCGGGATCCAATTTCCTCGGGGTTCCTTCTCGTCTTAAAACTCCGGGAAGACAATGTCACTCTGCTCCATGGTGGCCTTCATACCATCCTCCAAGCACGCCCTGGCTGTCTGACGGCAGCCTCGAGACTCGCCGTTGGGACCGGACTGGCGCCGTGCCCAACGCTTGCAGGGACCGATCAAGTCGACGCACTTGTCCAAGGGGAACAGGCCACGGCACAGCTGCTGATCGCTCTCGGAAACGCAGTCTCCGCGGTCCTGCTGGGCCGGCTTGTCCGCCCCGGGCCCCGAGGACGGCTGCTCGACCGGCTCCCCGGCGCTCTCTGCGGCAGGCGTGGGAGGCTGCTCCTTGGCCTTGTCCTTCAGGCACCTCCGGACCATGGACGTGACGATGCCCTGCGTAGTGCCCTTGCTGGGGTCCAGCTTGGCCTGCTTCTCCTGGCGGCATTCTCTGGCGTACTTCTTGCAGGATTCTTCCGAGAGGTCAAGGCCGTGGCATAAGCCAGCCTCTGTGGCTGGGTCTCTCAGCTTGAAGCAAGTCTCCACCTCGTTTTTGAACCTGTTGAAGTCGGCCCTGGTGAGGCGGTTTTCCCGAGCCTTAGAGTAGGCGTCGCTGAATATTCCTTCGCACTCTTTGGTGACATGGGCTTCGCAGTAGGCATGCGACATGCCCAAGTGCTTGCAGGTAGAGCCCCAGACCACGTAAACACTGTTCTGCGCCCTCTGTGCAGCGTCGCCGTCGCCGTCAGCGCGCTTCTCTTGCTGAGAAGGGGCCGGGCCGGCGAAGGCCTGTGCTGCGAAGGCGGCGGCGGCGACAAGTGCGAGACCCTTCATGTCGAGGATTTTGAAAAAGAAAAAGGTGTGTCGGCTTGGACAATAAATGTGTCAGGCAAAAGAGGTGGACGGCTAGATTCTAGCTTGTAGCGGAAGGATGAGGAAGACACTGGCCAAGGGGGCCGTAAGACGAGGGAGCTGCAGCAGCTTTTATCTTTTTTTTTCTCTCTCCTCCCGGTGACGAAGCCTTTCTTTCTTTTCTTTTACCGCGAACAATTACGCTGGAGCTTGTACGTAAGGAATATTACGTCAATTAGTTGCATTTCTTGCCTGCATTAACGCGGATGCTGCCCTGCCTAGACTACCCGACTTCGAGGCTGGCGGCTTGAAGCGAGTCTCGTACCACTTTGCCGCCGTAGGCCTCCTTTTCGATCTTGGCGTGTGCGAAGAAAGAGGTCGGAACTGGAATCCTTCTGATCATGCAAGGTTTTCGCACAATTGTTGCGTGCGCTGCTCGGATATTGACGCCAAAGTCTCATGGCCGAGCCCTATATTATTGCAGTCCTCTGCTCAGCCTCTAATTCTTAGTCACAGTATTTACAAGTCGAGTCATTCGTACGTGTTGGGGGTGTCCTACTTGATATTGGGGCTCAAGTCTTATAGTCGAGCTCGATATTGCCGGGAGTCTTCGGCCCAGTCCCCAATTGTTGGTCGAGGCGTATTCAAGTCGAGTCATGCATTCATTCTTAGTGCAAACCCTTTCTTGGACCTTCACGCAACGTCTTTTGACCAAGCCATGTGCTACTAGAGACTTCCGCCCCAACGAGTTAGTTGAAGTCTTAGTCGAGTCATGCATGTGTTGGGGAGCCTTTGTTTTGCTTCAACTTCCGCGAAAACTCCTTGACACAAAAAAGCCGGCTATGTTATCGAAGGAGCAGGGCATTATGTTGCGTCGTGTTGTCGTTGCCCCAGCGTCCAAATTTCAAACCCTCGTCATATGATAAATCCGAGGCCCTGCTCGCCACAGCTTCCTCGTTGTTGTGACAAGGGCTGTGTGCAAGTGAAAACGGAACTCGGAATAGTCATGGACTCATGGTGAGCTCGTTATAGTCATCGACTCTGGGGCATTGGAGGTTCTCGGTCTGCTCCGGGGAGACCTGGCCCCAGGGCCTGCCTAGATATGGATAATACATGTACAATACGCAGGAGGAATATACTGTCCTGGCATCCCGGGACATCCGGGGCGCCTCGCACAATGCCCCTTTGTCGTGCTCGAGTGTCGCGTGACCATTGTTGGCCTGGCTCTGCCTTGGGAGGCGTATTTGGACGCTAGTCGACAGGGAGCAAGGGGCAGCAGCGCTTGGCGGGGAAACTAGATCCTGATATAAGGTTATAAATTGGGAATTGCTACACGGGCATGACACTTTGGCTACACGGGCATGACTCTTACACGGGCATGACTTTTACCACTTCTGATTGGTCGCATTGTCTCTGTTAACGACGCTGGATTCTGCCACCTCAGCCGCAAGTACCTGGGCCATTTTAACCTTGCTTCTGTGTAAATTACTTCATTTCGGCTAAGCTACTACGCAGCAACCCAGTGGTCGCGCAGTCGGGGCGACCCCCTCGAGCTTGCTTTCTTCATTTTCGTAGCTTTTAATAAACCATAATACGGCACCCTATGCTGTAGAGATAGCGACCAATTCTTTCACTACAATCTTGTTCTCTTCTCAAGACGTCAATGTCTTTGCCTCGCACACCTCCTCGCAGGTCGCGGAGCCCTAGTCCCAGTGATCAATCACAAAGAGGAAAGCGACACAAATCCAGTCGGCGACGCAGATCTAGTCCTTCCACAGTTGAAGACCGACCACAATCCGCGAGTAGCTCTGCTACGAGTATCGGTCAGTTCTACGGCCTCGGGGACGAAAATGCACTCGATAACCTGTTCGCCTCTTTCCCGCAAACACTTTCAAGTCTCCCACACCCCCATGGTTCACAGGGCCGCCATGAGCCTGCATGGGGCCTTCGATCTGACTATGAGATATATCTTCAAAATGACTTCTTCCGTGGAAAAAGATGGAGCCAGCGAGTCAGAGCGCTTATACCAGGCCCAGAATTTGATCCATTCGCCTCTGAACCTCCCGAATCACCCCCATCCGCCCAGCATCTCCCAACAAGGACAAGAGCCGAGTTCGAGTCCGCAATGCGCATAGTACGAGAGGTTACCGGCGAAGGTCGAAGGCTAACTGTAGACCTTGCTCGATCATACGAACGTGTACAAGCTTGGCGAGAGAGATGGGGATGGTCACCATTAAGTTTCGAAGCATATGACTCTCCTCCACCGTACTCTCCACCTCGTAGGTCACCCACACAACCTCCTCGAATATCACCGACGCCCGAAAATATTAGTTCCTCGCCTATGCGACAGTCTCTATCTCCCGCCCCGGAGCCAATTCCGAACCCAATAATCCCTGGCGACCCAGCGCCCTCGGCCGAAGTTCTTTTTAAAACAACCAACGCATTTGCAAAGGAGAACGGATTTGGTATTATTCGGCGGAATAAATATTCCTATAAGGGACGGTTGATTAGGTACTCCATTCAATGCGACCGGTTTGGACAATCTCGGGCCTCGGGGGGTTCTGGTCTTCGAACCCGAAGGTCTCGGAAGTGTGATTGCAAATGGATGATAATTGCTGAAGCCCTAGAGGAAGGCAAGTGGCTTCTTCGACAACATAGAGACCCGAAACATCACCAGCATAACCATGAACGGAGTATTACGCCATCTGCGCATGTTTCCCACCGCCGCCTTACTACACCAGTTAAAGCAACCATCGAGTCAGCAAGCCGTCGCGCGGGTATTCGAGCCAGTGATGTAGCTGCTATGGTTGAGGAGCAATTCCCCGATACAACACTCCTGCGGAAGGATATCTATAATGCCCGTTCGTTCATTAACCGAGAGAAGCTAAATGGCTATACACCTACTGCGGCATTGATCAAACTCTTTGATGAGAAGAAGATCCCATACATCGCGAAATGGGCCGATGATGATCCAGATAGACTGCTTGGTCTTGTCTGGACCTTTCCGTACTGTCTACAGATGTGGAAGCGCTTCCCCGAGGTTATTAGCTTTGATAACACATATAACACTAATCGCTTCAAGCTTCCTTTATTCCAGGCTACTGGCCAAACCTGTCTTGGAACTGTGTTCAATGCTGCATTTGGCTTAATAGATAACGAGAGGAGGGAGGGGTTCCAATTCCTTGCAGAGAGTGTTCGCAAGCTCATTACAAAACACTCACTCAGGGAACCAGATGTCATCATCACAGACTTCGACAAGGCTATGAAAGCTGCCGTTAATGATCAGTTTCCAAATGCACAGCAACAGCTTTGTATTCATCATATCCTTTCAAACGTTTTGCTTAAATCGAAGACTAGGTGGACGGGCCAACGTGAGGACAGTACTACTAGCCCTAGCGCTAGTGACAGTGAAGACATTCCCTCACAGGCGGATGGCGGGTTGAGCACTACAGATAAGCATCTGATCGAAGATCGGTCGAGTAGTGATAAGATTCCTCATACTTACCAAGGCGTTGTTTTAATGTGGAAAAAGGTTCTCTATGCCGAGACTGAGGAAGCGTTTGAGCAGGCATGGAGAGATCTTTGTAAAGAGTTCGACGACCAACGAGCGATCTTACAATACCTCTACTCGACTTATATGCCTGTTAGTGCTCAATGGGCACGTTGCTTTATCCGTCGTTATCGTAACTTCGGAATCCGAGTTACGTCCGGCACAGAAGCAAGCAACAATAATATCAAAAGCTATCTATTAAATGGCATGAGCCACCTCTACCGACTCGTCGAGGCAATGCAGGATATGATACATGACCAAGAACGTGCCTTTAAGGATGCCTGTGGACAGGATGATGTCCTGACTGCTCCACAATACCTAGGTTCGATGGGAAACTATCTTGGTGAACTACGAACAACCATGTCATCGAAAGGACTTGGGTTAATCAACAAGCAATACTGTATTGCTCGCAAATTTCTGCCGACGGGGAAGAATCCCTTCCCCGACTCTATTGGACTTTGCGACGACGACTGTACGGTCTCTATTGAGCTGGGAATCCCATGCTATCATAAAGTCTACGCAAAGCTAGATTCTGACACACGTTTCACTAAATGGGAGGTCCACCCACGCTGGCGACTACGGGAATCGGCATCTCAAGATCCATACCGACGAATTCTTGACCCGAAAGTTGCCACTGCACTACGTGGAAGGCCAAAGAATACAGCGCAGGTTATCCCAGAAAGCCTAGCTATTACATCAAGTAGCCGATCTGATAATCAACCAAGTGGGCGACGAGGTCGACCGCCAGGAAGTCTCAATAAGCCAACTCTTGCTAGGAGAGTGCATAAAGCTACTCGAGAAACCATCACACAAACTGGTGGCCAAATTGGCATCTCAGCCCAGCAAGGGCCAGGTAGACCTTCTAAAGTCCTAAATGCTGGGAATACGACAGGCGTGCGGTACAGTGGACGGAGGACGCAACGAAACATTCGCAGGACAAGGAGTCAATGGGAACTGGCTAAGAGTGATGACGAAGATCCAGATTGTATCGTTGTGAGGCAATAAATTAAGTAGACCACATCACGTCTTTTGCCAGTATTTGACAGTTACTGGCTAACAGTACAAGGACGGTAGTTTAATCCGAAATGCAGGCTTGCAAGATAGCAGAAGACCAATCGCGCCCACAACGATAAGTGACACTGCAATTCATGGTGATGTAGGAGCTTGTTAGTGAAGTTGGCTACACCGCCTTTCCGAGGAAGTATCTGTGGGGCCAAGAAAGTATGCGACCAATCAGAAGTGGTAAAAGTCATGCCCGTGTAAGAGTCATGCCCGTGTAGCCAAAGTGTCATGCCCGTGTAGCAATTCCCTATAAATTATCCCGGCGTCGGTTCACGTCACGAGATCCACGAGTCTGAAACACTCCAGGCGGGAGGGCGGAAGTAGGCCGTCCGGGGGAAAATGGAGCGACAAAGCGTCAGTCATGACTCTGATGACGGGGCTTCCATCGGTCCAGTCTGTATTTCGACTTCTCGGAAAATACATGTCTGTTCCGTTGCGTTCCGTTGCGTTCCGTTGTGTTCCCGAGAGCGGCCAAGAGGCTTCTCTCAAAGAGATGGAAGAATAACACGACCATCTGATGACAATTCTCCCCCAACACATGTCCATCTGTTGCTCCGGTGTGAGGTCTCTGGTGTCCGGTGGAAAGAAGGTATTTGGTTATCTTCTGCTTCACCCCCTCCTCCTATTATTTGAATAATGACGGCCACAACCTCACGTACGAGACAACAGAGTAACCCAGGAGCCCACATACGAACACACCTAGGAAAATAACACTCAACAACGGGTCCCGAAACATGCCTACCAAGAATAATGCCAGCATGATAGTATATATGGCAAACCCAGCAAACGTCCACCACTTCCTAGTCCTGAGAAACTGCAAACGGCCCGTCTTGGTCCTCCATGGACCATGAGAGCTGACATGTGTCCACCAGATGACGCCCAGTGACACAGCGGCCACGCCGCTGATGATGAGCATGAGGCCAAGCATATCAAACAACAAAAACTTGAGGTCCTTGAAACGGGTAGTCATGCTGAGACACCCGACTGCCAGCGAGGCCGGCAAGAAAGTGGCCGCGAGAATGGTCAGCCGTGTCGCATTCTGGCTAGCCTTGGCGTCGACATGGACTTTGTACAGTCCGTGACGTTGCTGCTCGGAGCTGGAGACCTGTGTCGACTGCTTCATCAGCTCCTCGAAGCTCACGGTGATGTCCAGGGCCACACACTTCCAGCTGCTCGGCGTCACGCCCGGCTGGTCGCTGGCGGATGCCTGACCTGCTCCTGCTCCAAGTTCCCACTGCAAGTGGCGGATCATGTAGCTGGCAGAGTCGGCCAAGCCGTGGCAAATGTTGACCAAGACTTCGTTGTTGGCCACGATGATCTTTTGCCATTCCGTGACCGACCTGATGAGCTCGAGCGTGGCATCATCATGCATCTTTGTGTCATCTTCTGTTCTGTGCGCGAGCTTGAGCCGTGCAGACTTGATCTCTGCAATCTTGTGGTGTGTCCAGTCAAGCCCGGCGTTTATAAATGAGAGCAGCAGTAGTTTGGTGAAGGAAGTCGGAGAACCGTCGAGAAACCTGAGCGTGGGGTTTATCTGCCCATGCGCATCAGGTCTTTGCCCGTACGCGTCAGAAACAAAGTAGTTCCACTTGCGCAAGTTGGCATGCTTCCCCTTTGCGTTCCGCAGATACGACTGGCACAAAACTTGGCACGAGTCAGCCGGTCCTCTATCCGATGTGATGCCATGGGAGGGGAATCGCGGGGCAATATATATCATATATCATATATCATCATCATCATCATCATCATCATCACCACCACCACCGTCATGTCGACTTACCGACTAGCCCATCTTCCCCCATCTCCATACACTGTATGTGAGCTTGGAACTTGCGCAACCGATATGCCGGGCTGTACGGGAAAGACTCTTGTGGCAGGGATTCTTCGACCTGGAAAAGCTCCATGATGAACGGCACGCGGGCACCATGCCACGAGGCGCGAAGCCTCATGGGGTTGTTTATGGCTCGAAAGTCCGCTGCCGAGCCGAGAGCTTGCGGCGCCCTTTGCACGTCATGCCCGAGCATCCGCCCGATATTTTCATAAAGCTTTTGTCCCGCCAGTGCCTTCTCGTTGCGCGGAGGCACGCTCCAAAAGATTCGTGCGCTCTTTGGTTCTATCGGACCGAGCCCGGCTAGGACGCCTTCGACTTGTGCTTCGTAGTAGCATTCTGCGATGCAACGGGGTGGCGACTCGCCGTTCAACGCCATGTCGACGACTCTCAGGGAATATCCATCATCACCATCGTCGCCGGTGGCTTCCTTTTCAACGTCCGCAGGAGTGTCGAGCAGTCTCCGGGAATACTCGTCATCGTCTCCGACGCTGCTTGTTCCAACAAGACCAGAAACTTGTCTCCGATACAGCCGTGAACTTGGAGGGCTGATCTGGCCCGGTGACAAAGTGCTGTTTGCCGTGCTGCTATGTCTGGACAAGGCCCTCCGTGTGGGTGTAGATGAAGATGGAAGTGCCGCAGAGCTCCCGTCAGTGGTTGATCTGGCGGTGTCAGGTTGCTTCTGCCGTGCTTCTTGCGACGCCGCGGATGAAGTCCTAGGTATTTGTGAAGCCCGCGTTCCTTCCGGCACTTCATTCTCAGCTTGAACCAGGGTCTCGGCGCTCATGTCGGCCCTTGCCAGTTGTTCTAAATTGTTGGCAGGGCTTTGTTGGACAAGTGTCACATGACTCTCGCCTCGAGGCCCTGAGACGGCCCGCGTGCCATGTTGAGGGCGAGCAGCACCAGACGATGACAGGGATGCTTGGCCTTCAAGATCGACACTTGGCCATGTGTTTGACTTATTCATCCTTGCGGCTGTTTCTTCAGACACTCGGGTTCATCTATACTTTCAATGTCACCGAGGGCTTCAGTCTCAAGCAGGGATGGATTCGACGATGTCGACCGGGCTTGCGAAACGGAGCATGGAAAAAACAAACCGGAACGCGGCAGGCTCTCCCCATCTTTATAAGAAAAAACCGAAGACTTGTGTGTTCGCTGACCTGTCACGTATAGAGTGTTGGCCGCGGGCTACAATTTGTCACGATGCTGTATCAAAGCAGTGTAACGAGTCCAGATGGACCGCGGTTGCTCCTCGCACGATGTCGTCCGCTTCAGCGCGGACATCCTGTTGCCATCTAATGATATCAGCGACCTCGTTTGGAACCGGAAAACCCCACAGAGTACGAGCGGATCTATTGGGCACACATCGCCTTGTCAATGGCGACGAAGCCCAAAGCGCGGGGAGGCAAGGCTTCAGGCAGATTGGAGGATCCGCCTTCTGAATGCTGTGATACGATATTTCCGCTTCATTTGTCGGACAACCCCCCCTTTCTCATTGATGTTGGGCCTTGAGTTCTAGTTGTATATATGAGGCTTGGCTTGAGCGTGCAGCAGGAAGTGAATTACCTCCGAGGAAAGCAATGATGCTCATGTCATACTGCATTGCATATATTTGCAGCAGGCAACGGTTGCTACCTTGCACACCGTCGCGTGAGTAGCACCAAGAACTGAATTACCAACTCATGATTCATGAAGTCCTCCAGGACACCTGACTTTCGTTCAGCCCGTTGCTGTCAACGACTGCAGATGGACGAAGCACAAGCCACCAATATTATACTGTGAACCTGCCCGTGTTGGTGAGACGTGTGAGGGCGTTTGCTGCAACCACGACATGAAATGCAATTCCAACGAGTAACATGGATTCGGCGTGTCTTTGTCTATTAAGCTTCAATATAGAGGAAGCAGAACATGAGTCTGTCGCATTGGCTGTCCTCGTGATTGTCTTGGCCAGCAATCTCAACCCCTGTATGGAGGCACCTGGGAGGATGCATACCTACCGGTCTCTCGCGAATGATTCGTTAGTTCCGAGAGCATGTTCTTTTTCTACTCTATTGACGAGTAGAGCTCTCGGCTTCTCATATCCGGCGCCGATATTGCCTATAGTCAAAGGCTACTGTTGATAGAAAGCTCTCCAATAAGACCAAAGATGTCAGAGCTGGGCAGTCCTTGCTGAGCAAGGTTTCGATCAGCTGCCTGCTCAAGAACTGGCCGGTTCTGCAAATGAGGATTATTACATCGGCCGCGGCCGCGTGTAGTTGGATCTTGGCAGCTCGCTTGTGGAGGTTGGGAGCAACCGGCATAATTCTACTTGGACGATAACAGCAATGCTGTATGAAGCCGCCTGACTACAGCCGTGTTTACAGCAGCCAGCACCATTATTAATCTTATGTTGAAATGCATTTAGAGCATACCCTCTGCCAAACATAAGCGTGTACATCTTATACTATCACATGCGATGTTGACGAGCACGCCATACTATTCGCATGCTCGTGAGAGACGGCACTGTAAAGGTAAATTCGCAATCGGAGACCATCTTGGCAGCACATTTCTATTCAGTGGTGATGAATGGACATTTCGGGACGACACACTCTGCAGCAACCTGGCCTACGACGCGTCGAGTCCGACGAGCAGGACTTGGAGCGTCTTACGGATGCCGCCACCACTGAAATGAAGTTTCTCAAGCAAGGGCTCTGAGCTGGCAATACACATGTTCAAATCTAGGCTGGCGGTTAGCAAAGGGAGCCATGCTGCTTGCACTACAGAGTCCGTTCTCACGCGGCCTTGCATGCCGTCCGCTTTCACCAGTAGAGCGACTTTGCATACTGCTTGACATCGTCCCGCCATGATTCGAAAGTGTCGGATTCGAGCATCGAATCAATGTACAGGCCGACCTGGAAATGGGCTCAACATTACTTCGGTCAGGCACAACCGCAAAGATTTTTGGGGCAATTGGGACTCTCGTACTGAGGGTCAACGTAGTTTCGTAGGTCCCGACGGCGAATGTGGATTCAAAATCTCTCATGATTGAATTGTATTGCTGGATTTGTCGTTCCAGAATCTTCGAGTCCGCTAGTCTTTGAGAAGCTCTCCTAAAGTATGGTCGTAGAAGCCTGGATTGGATAGCGAGCAGTTCTTGTCGTGCCGATGGTGAAGGTAGGGTTGAGATTGATATTAAGTGTTTGTAGGAGGGTCATTTCACGATGGCCTTTGTGAACGATGAGAATTCATGGAAAGCGCCTTCCAAGGAGCCCTTTCAAGCGCCACCTCGAGCGGAAGACACTGATGTCCCCTAAAGTAGAACCGATTGTCCTGCGAAGAATAATCGGCATCTTCGACAACTCAGTGGAAGGGTCATATGACATATGGTTTGGAATTTGCGTAGGACAAAGGCCAGTGGCATTCATTGGTCATACAGATCCTGGCCTGGGTGCGCAGGCCTCGAGGCCTTGTTATAGTTCGCTCAACACTAAACAACAGCCAACCCCACTATTATCCGTCAAAGTCCGGTAACCCGGAGGGATCTCCCTAGAGGGCGTTGTCTGTGAATCTACTATCGCTTCTTAACGATGGCCAGCAACACCGTGCAGCTCCCCTTCCTCACCGAGCTCAACCCATCAATATGCCAGAAAAGATCTTCTCATGTGCAAAATTCAATCTTGACGCTCTGCTATCCCTCGCCAGAGGAATTCGGGGTCGAGCATGCACCTGCAACGTATCTGCCGCCCCGAAAACGGGAAGCATGAACTGGGCCATCTTCATCTCCTTTGACGATGGGCTTGACTGGGTCTTTCGCTCCCCGCGCAGTGGTCACCATGCTATCGTCTCAGACGAGTCTGCACAGAAAATGCTTCTCAGTGAAGTTGCGACGCTGAAGTTTCAGAAGAAACATACGTCGGTCCCTATTCCGGAAGTGTTCTCCTTCAGGTTCGAGATTGCCGTTCCACATCTCAGTCGGACCATTGCTAAGCCTTCTCAGTGGATCGTATGATAATCCTGTTGGAGTGCCATATATTCTTATGAGCAAAGCAACTGGGCGCCCGTTATCTGATTATGACTGGACCGAAATTTCGCGCCGAACACCAGGATACCCACAACTTCGCCCACTCCTACCGCTGCCAGATGGAATAAGAGAAAAGGTTATGAGGCAGCTAGGAACTATTATGGCACAACTATCAACACTTCGTTTTGATAAGATCGGGTCTTTATTTGAAGATTGCAACGGCAATTATGTGGTCGGCGAGTGCCTCTCGCCGACACTTCTCTGGCAAGAGAGAGACTCACTCGACGGCATAGAGCGTGGTCCTTTCCTGCAGGAGAGCCAATATTTAGAGTCTCTCGTTACGGCCTTTATATCCCATGCCATAGAGCTTCCGCTTTCGCCCCATGCCTTTTTTGCACCAATTCCTGATTACTCCGAATATTCAAGCTGGTCGAGCTACAGAGCGGCCGTAAGCCGTTGGAACGACTATGTCGCGATTGGTGCCAAAATTGAAAACAGCAAGAATCGCCTATCCTACTGTCTCGCTGGTCAGGTGCTACAGCAGATGATCCCACATCTCTCTACATCAAATGGACAGTATACATTGTCTCATCCCGATCTTCATCTCGGTAACATATTTGTCGACGAGAACTTCGACATCGCGTGTCTGATAGACTGGGGCTCTGCATCGACTGGCCCCGTCACCGAACTCCTTGCTACGCCAGGTCTTGGAACCTCAATCTCCGAACCTCCAGAACAGCTAATCACCGCTTTTAGGTCTGGGTTCAGTCCAGAGCATATACCACCAGGATCCTGGGAGAAAGCAAGCATGATGTGGTACTTCTCACGGCTGGTTCGCTTGCTGTCTACACAAGACTACAATATATTTCAAGCCCTTTACAAGCTTGTCTATTGCACAGACGGCAAGGAGCCAGACATCCCAGGGCTTTTCCATGAACTGGCAGCGGAAGAGAAGAATCAACGTCTCTTCGCGATGTTGCGCGTTGATGATTACACGATGTCGGAATTGGAGCAGGAAGAGGCCGCTGCATTTGGTAATTCTAGGGCTAATAAAAGCGATAGCCGTGCAGTTTCGAGGAAACTCACGGTAATGTGCGAAATAAACCACAGCTTTCTCGCAAGCTCGAAATTATGGCGGTGGGTTGAGCAAGCATTGGAGCCAACTGGCTCCACATGATGCTCCGAGCAATGTAATATTAACGACGAGGCGAGAAGAGAATGGAAGATAGATTGATAATCCCGTGGAACTTGTACTGTGAATGATATGTGACAGAGTGTGATACGGGGCAACTGATGATACGAAGCTATTGCTACTTCACCGACGACAATAAGCTGCAAAATTTGGGCATCGCGCGATAGGGTTTAATAGAGCTTCTCTTGAAGTGGGAATCTGTTCAGTACTGGCCGTTGTAAAGCCTCACAAATTCCACACCAATTTCGATTGTTTCCCCGGTTTCCTCCACTTGAATCTGCAACATTTAGCTGGGCCTTATAATTGCTGTAAGGCTCCTTACTTACGAAGGGTCGCAATGTGCTTCCACTGATGCCTGGAATATCCACGACCTGCCCAGTTTGCCAAACTCCGGTTTCCACTATATATGATTAGCAGCCCTGCTAGTAGGTATGCAATTGAACGGCTACTTGCCATTGTAAAAGCAGACGTAGTCACTAGCGACGGGCGCCCTAAAAATTGATGCCATGACCTCCATAATTAGAGGCACATTTGCGGTGAACCTGTACTTTTGTTGCTAGGTCAATGATGTGTGTGACCAGCGTGGGAGATTAGTCCGGGTCCAGATCGTTTGTCGTGGTATCTGAACAACCATCGCAACGCAGGATAACAGCTCCTCATCTCAAAAGACGTGACGTTCAGTTTCAGCTGAAGTCTGTTCCCCCTCCATGGCTGCATTCGGCGTGGCTCCCTGGAGGAGGACGAGGAGGAGGATGATGCATAATCTGTATGTATGTGTGCGTGGACGTTCTTACGTACTCCGTACTTAGCCCGATATTGCTGGTGGGGCGTTGACGCCGCCGGAAGCAATTCACGCGGGCTGTTGGTCTGTGCACTTTTTTTTCCCAGCTGCCAGGGTCGGTCTCACCAAGAAAGAAGAAGCGACATCGCCATCTTAATTGTGCACAGAGAAATCCGTAGGTGCCGCATCTATCTCGCATCTCGCAGCTGTCTCCGCCCCGGTCGCGTCATCCCAGAATCAACAATGGCGTCTGTCGACGTCGGCATACCGCGTCGTGAGCGCCAACGCGAGCGCGGCCCTCAGCGAGAAGCCGACTCGTACCGCCCGCCACCACGCGAGCGAACGCCGCCGACGGTGCGAACAGAGGATGAGAAGCAGGCTGCCGCGAAGGCGGAATATGACAAGCTTATCAACATGCGGTCTGGAGGAACCTACATCCCCCCCGCAAGGTTGAGGGCGCTGCAGGCGCGAATCACCGACAAGTCGAGCAAGGAGTATCAGCGCATGGCCTGGGAGGCCTTGAAGAAGAGCATCAACGGTCTGATCAACAAGGTCAACACGGCCAACATCAAACATATCGTTCCCGAGCTCTTCGGCGAGAACCTGATTCGAGGACGGGGACTCTTTTGCCGATCCATCATGAAGGCCCAGGCTGCAAGCTTGCCCTTTACCCCAATCTATGCTGCCATGGCAGCCATCGTCAACACCAAGTTGCCCCAAGTTGGTGAGCTGTTGATCAAGAGGTTGATCATGCAGTTCCGCAAGGGCTTCAAGCGAAACGACAAGTCGGTCTGCCTGTCGTCGACGACCTTCCTCGCTCACCTCATCAACCAGCAAGTCCAACACGAGATGCTGGCGGGACAGATTCTACTGTTGCTGCTACACAAGCCGACCGATGACAGCGTAGAAATCGCTGTCGGATTCTGCCGAGAAGTTGGTCAATACTTAGACGACATGCAGCCGTCCATTTCGTTGGCCGTCTTCGACCAGTTCAGAAATATCCTGCACGAAGCCGATATCGACAAGCGAACACAATACATGATTGAGGTTTTGTTCCAGGTCCGCAAGGACAAGTTTAAAGACCATCCTGCCATCAAGGAAGAGTTGGACTTGGTCGAGGAAGAAGACCAAATCACCCACCGAGCAGAGTTGGACGGCGAGATTGACGTTCAAGACGGGCTCAATATTTTCAAGTTTGACCCCAACTGGGAGGAGAACGAAGAGGCATACAGGAAGCTAAAGGCGGAGATTCTTGGCGAGGGAAGCGACTATGGAGACGACGATGAGGGAGAGGACGAAAGTTCTGAAGAGGAAGAGGAAGAAGAAACCAAGGCAATGGAAATCAAGGATCAGTCCAACGCGGATCTGGTCAACCTGCGAAGGACAATCTACCTCACAATCATGTCCAGCGCCGACCCCGAAGAAGCTGTCCACAAACTCATCAAGATCAACCTCCCTGCCGGCCAAGAACCAGAGCTCCCTTCCATGATCGTCGAATGCTGCTCCCAAGAAAAGACATACACCAAGTTCTTCGGTCTCATCGGCGAACGATTTGCTAAAATCAACCGCCTCTGGTGCGATTTGTTTGAGCAGTCCTTTGCCAAGTACTACGACACCATCCACCGCTACGAGAACAACAAGCTTCGCAATATCGCCCAGCTCTTCGGACACATGTTTGGCGTCGATGCCCTTGGCTGGCACTGCCTCTCAGTAATTCATCTGAACGAGGACGAAACCACTTCCAGCAGCCGCATCTTTGTCAAGATCTTATTCCAGAGCATCGTGGAGGAAATCGGCCTGCCCAAGCTCAGGGCTAGATTGACCGACGAGACGCTCCGACCGAATCTGGAGGGCATCTTCCCCAAGGACAACCCGCGAAACATCCGCTTCTCTATTAATTACTTTACCAGTATCGGGCTTGGTGCGCTCACGGAAGAGATGAGAGAATACTTGCAAAACATGCCCAAGCCGGCGCTACCTGCCCCTGCCGCTGCGGCGGATGACTCGGACTCGGACTCTGTGTCGAGCTTCTCTTCTTACACGGGATCGTCGTACTCTTCCCGCTCACGGTCGAGAACGCCCCGCAGGATCCGGGGCCGTTCTACATCTCGGACACCCTCCCGCAGGACAAGATCACGGTCATACTCCGAGAGTCGGTCCCGCTCGCGCTCGCGCTCGCGCTCAGCTTCATACGACTCGAGGTCACCGTCTCCCAGACGAAGACGTCGAGACTCCTACTCGGCCTCGCCTCGGCGGCGATCCCTCTCCAGAAGCAGATCCCGCTCACTAGCGCCCAGGGGAAGGGGGAAAGTAAGACGACGCAGCGCTTCATACAGCTCGTACAGCCGCTCCCCATCACGCGACCGCAGCCGTCCGTCCCTGTCGGTCAGCCCCCCTCGTGGACGGGACCGTTCGCCAAGGGGCAGGTCGTACCGCCGAAACAGCTCTTCGTCCCTGAGCAGCGCGCCGCGCAAAAGGTTCAGACGGGACTCTCCATCGCCATCGTATGATTCGCGCTCACCGCCACTAAGGGGGGCCAGAAGAGCGAGTCCCTCGCCCAGAGGAAATGGAAGGAGGACCTCTTACTCTGCATCGCGGAGCAGGTCCCCGCATAGAGACAGGGACAGAGACAGCAGATCTGTATCCGTGGAGCCCAGGCGGAGATCACGCGGCCCTGTGCCCGCCAAGAGAAGGAGATATAGCGAGAGTGTGTCGAGGTCGCCGCCTCCTGTGAAGAGGGGCCGTCGGGAGAATTAATCCATTAGGCTCGGGGGGTGGGGGTTTCCAGATTGTCGGTAATGGAATCATTGTACAGTACAAAGTATCATACCATCAAATGCATCATGAGGCTAAGCACATGTAGCTATGCTTGGCAGTCGAATTACATGTTTGTATCAAAGTCAAAAGTCTACATTTCACGTCTGGCTTTCGATTTCCAGCGACGCCTCGTCCGCGCCCACGTGCATCCATCGCAATTTAACCGCCGACACGGGCCATTGGTCCTGGGACTGTAACGACGTGCTTTTCGCCGGGCATGATGTCGAACCCGTTGCCGCTTAGTTTCACGCCTTGCACCTCTTGGATCACGAAGCCCTTGGCTGGGCGGGTTGAAGAAGCAGCACTCCGTAACAGTGATGCAGTTGGTAGATACGGAGAATGATACTCGTCGGTCAGAGGTCCAGAAACTTGACGGGACCCGGCCACGCGGCGCCTGTAGCTACCACGATTCCATCTCCACAACTTGGTGTAGCCCACGTACGGGCCGTACTGCAGTGCCAAATGGAATGGTGTGGTCGTCATAATGGGTAGTGGATGGTTTCAGGGGCTTGCTCGAGAAGAACCGTCGTGGTGACATTTGTTCCGGCGGCATTCAAATACGTCGACTTTGTTGATGCGGAAGTAGAACGACCTGCCCTGCCATGGGTGTCGGGTTCTCGGACGAGCTTGGTGCTACGGAAACCGGTCTACTTTGACGTAGGGCGAAGCTCTACACCGCTCCACACAATGCCAGCCTGGAGTTTATAGCGTGTTTGCCTGCCATGGTTGAGATGATACCAGAGCTGAGGATTGTCGATGACGGGAGGAACAGCAGCTGTACGGTGTTGTGGGACGGAGACTAGTTCTCGACTATCAAATGGTCGTGGATGTCCAGAGTCCCAGACTCCAGAGGCTGAAGAAGAGACGATGATGCTTGGGGCGCCTTCAGGGACAGTCGGATGGTTTATCGAGTCAAAGGTATCCATCCATCCAGAGCGTACGTGCGGTTTGAGTTGGGTGCCTGGATTCCGTGCTCCGAGTTTGAGTGCAGGTTCAAGAATGGCTGCTCAATGTAGTCATGTACTTGCTACATGGAACTCGAGCCTCAGGCCACACTACATGTAGCTTCAGAAAGTGAAGTCGGCCGGGTATTGGTACTCAAAATTCGCCGTCAATCTTCAACTATATACCACTGTTGCATATTCCTTGGCTGCTTGGCCCGGTACCTGGCGTCCCCTTGTCCTAACTCTTGACAAATACCCAGCATGTGCTCAAAGACGAAACCGAGCAAGAGTTTCAGAGCACCGGACTCCATACCTGGGTCGACCGGTCAACCAACACGACGACATCGAGGCCCTCGGCTTGGCCATAGATAAACACCATGCGTGCTCCCATATCGGCGTTACGTGCATGGACGCCGCCTCCAGAGCCGTCTTCCAACCACCTCCCGCCACATATGAGCATACCTCTCCCTCTCGGTGTGCAAGATCGTTGAAGCCGTAGTGTCCTGCTGATAGGCACATCCGACAGCTCGGTCGATGCTGGTCTCGGAATCGCGTCCACGCAGGGAATCTTCCACATTGTCTTTTCAGGCGCATACCCTGCCGATGGCTTCGTGTTGCCATTGAAAGAAATATGGGAGCAGGGTCAGCAGGGAACAACCACCATGACCAGCATCAGAGAAGATCATCCATCGGCAGACGAGCTCGGCAAAGGCTTTTTGAAGATGCCCGCCCAAAGGTGGTCACGGACGCGAGCATCCGGTCCTCGACACCTTGTCCAGATGAAGCGTCCGCGTCTGCATCTGTGCTCCAAGGGGTGCTTGCACCAACGGGGAGGTCGAATCGCAAACTCCTTCTACTACAGATACTGATGGAACGTCGGATCTGCTCAGGTTTATGTGGTGGCAAGCTTACAGCCTCGAATTGGGCAGTGTTTCTAGCTGAAGGGCCCGCCAAGAGAATTGATGTATCCCACGAGAACGAGGCACGGCGTCCGGATGGAACTGCCAGAATCTAGAGAAGACGTTACACTGCAGACGACGGGTTTCGTTTGCCGCCGCTCACATTCACTACAACTCTTCACAGGTGGCTAGCCTCATTACAGATTACAGCCCGACTGGAGTACGTTGAACCTTTCAACCAGCCCTTTTCACCAACCATCCTCACATCATCTGGAAACAAAAACACATCTTTCATCGGGCCTTCTTCGACAAGACGCAAGTGACAGTCTGCATCTACCGTATCCAGTATGGCACAACGAATCGAAAACTTGGCAAACCACATTAGTGCCGCAGCCACCAGAACAGGAGCCCTCCTCGCATCTCACGGTAGCACGGCCGCAGGGCAACTCAGAAACGTCGCCGCCGAGCACCCCGTCGCTGCCACGGTAGTTGGCGCTGGAGCCGCTGTTGTGGCCGCCCCGGTCCTCCTGTCTGCTCCAGCCTTGGCCGTGGCTGGATACGGTTCTTCCGGGGTGGTAGCAGGTAAATTGCTTTTGTCTGCTTTTCTCGAAACTCCCCCCTCCCATTGCTCCTCAAGGCCCGTAAGTAACAGCACGTAGGATCACTCGCCGCGACTATCCAAAGCTCTGTTGGGTCCGTTGCTGCTGGCAGCGCCTTTGCCACTCTTCAGAGCGCCGGTGCCGCTGGCGCAGGCCTGGCGACTGTGAATGGCATTGCCCAGGGTGTTGGCGCTGGCACGGCTGCTGTAGCCTGGCTGATGGGATACCTCGGCCATGACAACAATAACAATGGCAATGAGAAGGAAGCTGGTGGCGTTGAGACAGCGAGCATTGAGGAAGGCGAAGACCAAACGGAGGCCCAAGATCTTCATCATCCTTCTTCTGACTCCTGAAGCATGGATGCCGGACTATGGAACTGGCTGATACGCCAAGACGTGCTGGCAAATGACGGGCACTATGAAAGAAACAGGGGCCTGATGAGAGGCCTTCATACTGCCCAATTATAAAAGATATCACGACCGCATGTCTTCATGCTGCATCTGCATTGATTCTACGCCATGCCCAAAAGTACAATCCTTCCCTTGTACATGTAAACGTATCCAGATACAAGTTCATCAGGAGTCCGAACCACTTTCCTCCTTCTTCGCTCCTCCGTAGCCGCGTCATCGCCATTCCTCACTTCTGTCTTCCCTCTAGCTTACAACCATTTGTCACCTCCGTCACAACACTGGCCCCCGTGGCCTTGGCCTCGAGCTTCTTCTTGCTCAAACTAATCGCACCCTTGGCCAGAGCCTCAGCCGGCAACGGCCTCACAATCGGCTGCGCCACCCACACGGGCCTCTTGCACCTCCTAACCGTCGCCCTCGAGCTTTCCCCCTCGGCCTCGTCATCCTTGCCATCCCCAAATCTCTCCAGTTCATCTTGGAAACCCTTGCCTTCCGTAGCCTCGTAGTCTAATAATTCTTCTGCGACTCGCCGCTCAACCGCTTCTAGGACCCTTTCGTACCCCATGATGCCGTCCCTGCGACTCCGTGCCAACATGTCTCTGATATCAGTGTGTTTGGAGACAAAGTGTCGCAAGAGATGGAACAGGTGAGGCTGCATAGCAACCAGATTCGGTGACGGCTCACCGCGTTTCCCGCCGTCAGTGCCCTTTTTGCGCCGCTTGTGAGGGCGTTCTTCATCCTGTTGAGCTTCCTGTGACTGCTCCTCCATCCAGGCCGTGTCGTCTCCCGGCACAAACAGGGGTCGCCGGGAGGGCGGCTCGACCTCCAGGACGTATCTGTGCAAGATATCCAGGTAACGACGCGTGATGGCATCGACTCGCCAGCCGCCTCTCCCGTCCTTGCCGCGCCAGTACTCCCTCCCTTCTTCGCCGACAGGCGGGTCCTTGGCGAAAAGCGCAGGATTGCTGAGATTGCCTTCGGCGCTCATGACGCCGTCCGCGCCCGTTGCCGCCAGGCACTCGTCAATGTCGCCGCCCTGCAGGACATTGCCGTTTGCAAATATCACCGTCTCGGGGGGGAGACTGTCCCTCAGGAATCTGAGCATCTTCCAGTCCGCCACGCCCGTCACATGGCCCTTTTGCTCTCTCCGCCTCCCGTGGACGGTCAATATTGACGCACCCGCCTTCAATACGTTTTGCGCATACGCCAGCGTCTTCTCTTTATCCTCTAGTATGCGAATCTTGGCCGTGACGGGAATCGATAGCTCCCTGTGCAAAGTGTTGATGAGGCGGAAAATCAGGTCCTGGTCCTCTTGGAGGAATGCGCCGTAGTGGCCCTTGCGCGCAATGCCCTGGGGACAGCCGAGGTTGAGATCGACGGCATCGCAGTATGGACTGACCTGCCTTGCTGCAGAGAGAAGAGCCTCGGGATCGTTGGCGCAGAATTGTACGAAAAGGGGGCGGTCAATGGACGGGTTGCCGTCGAGCCAGGGTTGCTCAGAGTCTGGTTTCGTGGACTGGAAATGCGCCTTGCGGTATTTGCTTTCCTGAGAAAAGAGGCGAGCGTGGAGCATTGGAGTGTAGGCGAGCATCTTCTTCTTTTCCTCGTCCGTGAGAAAAGATCGTGTAAGCATTCGCCAGGCCTGCGAAACAGTTAGTGACCATCGGATTGACAGCCATCGGCAGGGCCTTTGGATTATTGTGCACACACAAACTCGGATTGGTCCACCATGGGAGCTACAATATGCTTGGGGCTCCCTATGCTTTCGTAAAACGCCCGTCCATGCAGCTTCTTCTCAGCCCGGACAGCATCGGCAGCAGGCGGCGCATCTGGAGGGTTTTCTGCCCGTGTCATCGTGGCAACCAGTCCCGAAACGGCTGGGTTCACAGTTGCACAGTACCGTCGAAGCAGAAAGATGCGAGTATTCAGGAAAAGACCGGCTCGTTGTCCGCTTCGCTGCATGAAGAGAGCAAGGAATTCTGACCCCGATGTTGCGGGAGGGCAACGACCAGGTGTTGTTGATGCGAACTGCTTCGTGACCTTGAGGGGAAAAAAAAAAAGAAGAAAACATATCGGGTAGCATCGACGCCGACGATCATTGTGGGTCAGGTCACTCGCGAGTCGCGACTCGTCTTTCATCTTTCAACGACATTCGGCCGTCCACCTACTCCGTCTCCGCGTTTGCACATGACAAATTGTTTCATTATCACGGGAGTCATGGAACATAGTGCAGCAGGAAAGTCCATGAATGTATTTATTGGTGCTATGCTCGTCTTCCCTCGCGGACCCAAGTGAATAGAAACAGCATCCCAATGACACCAAAGAACACTCATTCTAATTTGATACAGCAACAAAAGACTGACTTCATTCAAACTCTCCACACCAATCGCTTGCACCATTCGCTACTGCACTCACATTGCATCCGTCAATGTGCATCCTTCAAGGTCGTTCCCGCCTCTCCAGTCTAGTCTTGCCTCGACTGGATGGCTACCTTTGAAGCACGATCCCATTTCAGCGCCTGCCGAAATCCCTCTATCTGTCCATCATCGCTCCATAGCGTAGCCGCAACATTAACGACATGTTTATGACTTCGAGGCTAAATTCCCGCCTGACATGTTGACTTGTGACAAATTGAAAAACGCCGTTGACACCGTACTATGCTGTCCCTGAAACGCCGACAACTGTAAATGTGAAATGAATACATGGCTTATTTGGGCTCTTGACGTCCCATCGTTGAAAAATGGATCAGCTAGGCTGTTCCCTCCTGCTCGGATAATTGCTGTCATCTAATCAGAAGAAGTGGGTGTAGATCTTGGAGTTCTCATGCACCTCCATTTCCTGCCAATCTCGTCAACATTGGATTCCCTAGCTGAGGAACCACGAAGCCGCCAAACTTACCATCTTGAACGAGTTGAGTTCCTCCTTAATCTGCTGTGCAAGCAAAGGCGTGAGTCGATTGCAAGTGGCAATTTCTCCACGGCGATCGTACTCCTGACTGGGCCACGTGTCATAGAAGATGATGCGAGGCGAGAACGTCGCATTTCGCTTGGCAGACGGTGTCCCCGACTGGCTGTCTTGGCGAAGGCGCAAAGCGGACATGAAGTAATCTTCGCTGCCAATGGCAATCGAGCCGATCCTCTTATGACCAAGAGTCTCGTCATTGGGCGTGCTAGGCGCACTCGAAATTGGGGAGTCGGCGATGGTCGGGATGTTGGGGAGGACTAGGTCTGGGGAGGGACACCCATCCGTGGGTCTCACTGAAGGACTTCCAGGTCCTGCAGAAAAATTTGTTAGTGACCGACAATTGGAAGACGGCGATATACAAGGAATCTGGACTCGACCACTCACGCTTCAAAATACCCTTTCTCACTGCAGCAAGCACTTCGGCACGTTCCTTATCCCCACCAACAATGCTCTTACGCTGCTCTCCTCCAGAGCTACCCAGTGGTTCATCGCCAATCTCTTGCGCGTGAGCAGCGTCAATCGAGTTCCGCTCGAGGCGCGGAAATCCAGTACCTCCGTTTGCAGCATGAGGGTCTGCCGTGACGTTCACAAGTTGTGCTTCAGCCTCGGCTGTGATCATTGAAACGGTTGCTTGGCTAGCCTCCGGTGCAAGTGGTTCAGCAGCAGGAACGCCTACAACTGACTTTGGTCTGAAGAGACCAACAAGCGATCGGGTGCTCTTCTTCATACCTCGACCCATCTTTCGAATCATAATTGACGCAGACGAAGCAGTAGAGGAGATGGAAAGGTTATCCGTAGATCCAAAGAATCTTCCGCCATAAATGCTGTTTCCAATGCCACCAGCCTCTTGTGCCCGGGCAATACGTGCCTGCTCCGCATCGTAGGCTTCCTCTGCGGTGCATTCTTTATGAAGCTTGGATGGTTCAGCCTTATCTGCCTCTTCCGCAGCCTTTCGGAATTCGGCAGCACTACCAAATGAGAACGCTCTTCGTAGTCTCGAAGTTTTGCTTTTTGCTTTGCCTCCCTTCTGGTTCAGTGCAGACAGTTGCTTCGCGGCAGGTGACTCGGAGTTGCTCGAGGCGCCAGGCGCTGACGCCGAGTCTTCAGCGGCCTCATTTGCCATTGTTGCCGGTTTGGACAGAGGTGAGGGGCTGTGGCTGCGCTTGACAACGTCAGACGAGGAGCCTCGAGGAGGGACACTGAGCATCTTCTGCTGCTCATTCTTTGCTGCCGTTTCATCACTGCCAGGCAAAGAGGGGTTGCTTGCGGGGGTAGTATACAAGTTACGGTTGGTCGCCTGCACACCAATCCTTGTTAGTACGTACGTACGGTGTGCTCAAGAGAGCTGATTGGGCATGTGAGAATCAACACGACTTACAGATGAGCGTCTGGAATGGCTGCTGCGGGTTGACGCAACACTCTCCGAACTTCCGTTGCGCGAGTGCGAGCTGGTCTGCACGGGGCGAACCTGTTTACCATCGGCACCATCACAGGAGGTCGGTCTCGTGCTGGAAAACTCCCGAGTCTCGATGCTGTGCACACTGCGTCGACGCGTCCTCATGTCGTCTTGCCCAGCCTTCTTGTATTTCTGTAAGTCATCCATTGAGGAAACAGATACCAAACCTTGATTGGCAGACATGATGTTCGTCGCAGAATATCTCCGGTTTGCTTGGTATGCTTGACTTGGGGGCAACATTGAGGGACTGGACGGAATTGTGTTGCTTTGAGAGCGACTGTGGTGTGAAGGCTGAACGGTGAATGTCCGTCTATATCGATCGGGACCACCATGTTTGGTAGAGGACGAAAAAGATGGCTGCGTTGAAACAGACAAATACGACTGGGGCCTTGCTGCAGGCGTTGTGATTCGGCTGGGTGTCAGAGCAGAATCGTCTCGAGAGCCACTGTGACCTACTCCAAAAGAGTTGGAATGGCCAACAGAGGTAAAGGAGGGACTGCTTTGCATGGTTGTACGGTAATTCATTCCAGAATCATGAGGTTGGGATGAGTGAATTGCGGCGGAAGAAGTTGTTCTATACGCGCCGTATTGCTGCCATGGCAAGGTTTGACTCAAGTTGGGTGTGCTGGAGAATGCAAAAGGCGGTCCAGAAACAGAGCCACTTCTATATCCAGTAGACCCGTTGGAGGCATAAGCAGATCTTGGAGCCTGCGAGCCGCCCATATCATATGGATGGGTACCGTGAGACTGGTTAGTCGTCATCATGCCACCACCAGTGGACGAAGGGCGAGTTTGAAGCATTGTGGTGGCAGAGGTCTGCTGCGGATACGTCTGCACCAGTGCGGCCATACTCGACTCTCAAGAATTGTTACGACGAGGGAGGATAGGTTCGGGGTAGCATGAAGACACTGGCCTGTTATCTGGCTTCGATGAGACTCGACGACGCGACAGGTGACTGAGCTAGTATGCAGCCGTCTCGAGTTAAAAGTCAAAACGACACTCTGGAAAACTGCAGCATGCACAGTTAGCGAAATACTTCAGTATTATTTGCGGCGTTTGAGCGAGCGGACAACGGGGTTCAACACAATGGGCTGATTGTGCACAAAAGAAGGCATTCAAACACGCTTAGGGGAGGAAACAAACGTGTTTGTTGCAAAACATGCGAACCTTGTCGTACCGTCCACTGAGAAGCTATTGTTTCTTCCACTCCCTGACACTGACGTAAAAAAGAGTAACGAGTAGTTCGGCAGCCTCTCCTCTTTCTTATTTAGGAAGGAAAATGAATCACGGTACGGCCGACGAAATCAGACGCCAGCGACCAAACGAGTGTAAATAATCAAAACGAGTGTCTGTCGAAGATTTTTTGTTATTCCAACAAGCGGGGCTGCCGCAAGTTTCCCCGATTTCTTTCGGTAAATTCACTACACGACAAGCCCAGAGTCGAGTAGGGACAGAGACGGGTCAAAGCAAGGCAGTGAAGAAATGAATCTCCAACTAACTCGAGACCGTAGGCAGACGTTGCATCGACGTCAACGAACGAGCGAGAAGGATTAAAGTGTATTCTCCTTCCTCTGTTGTTTCTTCGATGGTGGCAGCAAAAAATCGAGAGTCGGTGAAAGATATTACAGTTTCGATTGGGGAACGTCGTGGAGGCACGCCACCGGAAGATCGTGGGCTAGAGGACGCGGGCAAAGGCCAAGGACGAGACAGCACGCAAGAGAGGAATGTCCAAGTTGATGTGTGCAACGCAACGCTTAGAGGCGGGGAGGGGAAGAAAGATATCGAACGGAAAAGAGAAGAGACGCGACACGAAGAGTTGGAATCGGGAGAGGGTAAACGGGAGTTCGGAGGTGAGGCAGCGAAGAAAGGGGGTTCACGCCAGAGAAATTGAGATTCCGGCAGGAGGTCTTCGCGTGCTGACGGACGGGGGCAGAGTGGCGAATGGAAAAGAAAGGGATAAAGTGACTCGATTGAGAAGGAGAGATGATAGTGAGGATGAAGACGAAGACGAAGGAAAGAAGAACAGGGGGAAAATCGTCGACAATACTGTGTGATGGTGGTGATGGGAAGAGAGCAAGTGCCCGAGTGGACGGACGGACTTTCACGGGGGGGGCGGGGGGGGCAGCCGCGGAAAGGGCAAGACAGGCTATCGAGAAGCAACCAGTCGACGAGAGCTGCAGACGAGGCAACAGCAGTGCCGGTTATTCTTAGGGGCCGTCAGCAGTGAACAGTGAGCGGTGACGGCGCAAGTGGTCTCAAGCCTGCGCTACGGTCTGCAACAACATTGGACGCCTGAGGAGCAGCGGCAGCCATGCCCGTAACGACGGGTGGCCTTGGCTTCGGACTCTACTAGCGAGGCTGGGGGCACCTGAGCCAGAGGACGTCAACTGGTCGGCGGCTGCAGCAACGTCTGTTCCGGTCAAGGAATGGACTGGATCATCAGGCACTCCCATCAATGTGAACGCGGCGCCGCTGGACGAGGGATCCGACGGCGCCAGCATTGCAAGGTTCCAGGTACGGAAGTCAATAAGGCGTGACAGCTTGAAATGGAAGTCTGGCGTTGAGATGGCGTTGTCGTGGAAAGTCGGCATGAATGGTTTCGGCGCTGTGGCGGCGCCTGTTATCAATTGATAGCACTGATGGTGCCCAGGGAACTTGGATGTTGGGCAAATATTAGTGGACAGTGGCGGCCCGTTGCGCCTGTTCAGGACGTGACAGGCACACCAGAATGTCTAGCCTGGTGCTTTCTGGTTGACCACTGGACCACTGGTGCTGCTGACCAGCGCTAGACACCAGTCAGACATGGCGCCTGCGCAGGGGGGTCGTAGCAGCCATAGTGGGAAATTGCCCGGGGAAGGCTTAGCTGTTTGGCGGCTTTGGCGGGCACAGTGCCCTGTCTGTTGCCTTGGCCCATCAACCACCAGATTCACAGGGCAAGGTTCGGGCTTGAGCAAAGGCGGTTTCAAGCATGTGACTTGCTGCAGTGCCCAATTCCAAGGCCCAAGCACGCACGCACGCAATTCAAGGCAACGTTCGAGTCCTCCGTCCATGGTCATTGGTGACGAGTCGTTGGTTTTAATTTTCTCTGTAACATTTTTAGTGCGCGTCTCACAGGTCTGTTCCTCGCAGAGTCAGAGCAGTCACTCATTGGTTCAAACATTGTGCTGATGCTCCGTACGGAGTACTCCCGCTTCCTGCTTTAGAGACAAGACGGATCCGGACTATTTCGACCCTCGTGCTTGTCTTTGCGCTCTCATCAACGTACGGAGTACAGTATGCCCCTTCAATGTTTGCGCCGACAGCGGCCCGCCAAGTTGTACCCATGCCTGGGCGGGTTGGGTGGATAATAGGTGGCTTGCCGTCAATGGAATCTTGCAGACAACACGCTCGTGACGACAGCACGTCAAGCGCCCGGACTAAGAAGCCAGCTTGACCACGTCTGGTTGTGATTTGCCGTGCTTCCTTGCGTGCCAGACTCGAGCTTGCGAGACACGAACGTACCCTGTCTGGCACTTTGGGCCCTTGCCCATCTCTCGCTCCAACCCCGGTCCTGGCCCCATCCCATGCATGAAGGTAACCACCTAGGTGCTAGTTATTGTGTACGGAGTATGAATCCTGCAGTACGGAGTACTCCATCATCAGCGGCGAATTGAGCCGACCCCTCATCGACTCTGTTGTCAAATACTAACAAGAATTGACGATGCAGTCCGCGCATTCAGACTTATTAAGAACATTATTGCCACGGAATCTTCTCTCCTGAACACCTAAACACAGCGTGCTGAAGAAGATTTGTTGGGGCCTGTGCGCCAATCGGACTGAAGAAAACTCTATCCAGAGTCGAGCCATCGAATGCTCGTATGCATTTGGGCCCCAATGCCTTGGCTGGCTACGACGACGACCGCTCCTTCCTTTCCCGTTTTTGCCACGCGATGATCACCACTTTCGCTCAATTTTGTCTCCGAGAGCCACAAACTTCTGCCTGGTCGTCATTTCTTAGACCTTCAGACTTGGATTTGGACGCTGACCGGTCCCCCGACGTCAACAACTGTTTCTCACAAACCTCCTCCCCCTCGACTGGCCCCCGGTTGCATGTAGAATGCCGGTAGCCTCGATGGCCCGTGATTGGACGTCCTCCTCATTGTGGGATTGGGATTTGTCTAGCGCTAAACAAGGGAGCCGTGGCCCCGGGCTGCACGGTCCACCGGAGCGAGAGAGCGAGCTAACCCACTTGAGCAGGAAAGACCTTTGTATACTCCGTACGGAGTACCGCGTCACGTCTCCGAGGGACAGACAATAATACGTACTACGGCTCGAGTTTACAAATCCTAGCCAAAGACAACCTATCGTGCAAGACAAGACACTACGAGGCGGAAACACGCCCAGAGAGCACGACTGCACCGACAATGAGAGTGCCCTGTCTTGCGTGTATGCAGAACTGGCAGAATGCGTTCCAGCTCCAATCTTTGTCGAGAAACCGTCAAACAGCTGTGTTGGCCGGTAGACGACGCCTCCGAGCTCCCTGCGCATGTTCGGAAAATGGTCAGTGCCCGCCAGAGTCGCTCACCAAACCATTTGGTGATGCGCAACCAACCAGCGGGCCATTCATGGGCAATGACACCAGGGGCTCGGTGCTGCAGACCGAGACATAAATGCCGGGGTCTGTGTTGTCCTGGTGTGCATGCAGTCAGTCCTACTCCGTGCCACGCCCCGAGTCCGGCGTCGCGGCAGTGGACATCATGACCCATACTTCAGGCTTTACTACTAGTGATCGGAGGTCAACATTCAGGAGTGCTGGCTCCATCATTTTTCATTACGAAGTGCAATACCTGAGGGGTGGCGCGGTGTTGATCGGCCACTACGGAGTACTCCGCACTGCATACTCACACACAGATGGCAAAAAGATGAGGCTAGAACCCGATCTCCGAATTGAGACCAACTGGTACGCCAATACGAAAAGACTGCGCCGCTTTTGGCGTTGTTGCAGTCCGACCGAAATGCACAAACATAGTTTTGCACACAAGTTGACAAGTTGTCAGTCCACGAGGTCTGTTGCAGGAACTCAACCCCAATGCAAGCCACGAAAACAAGACATGCAGGTGGGCTGGTAGATCGAGCCGCAGGGGAACTCGCCCCCTGGACAGCGCTGGTGTTGCTGTTTTTAACGACCCTCCTTTCCCTCCCTT